CGGCGGCGGGGGCTGAGGCGGGGGGTGCTCGGAGGAGCAGCCCGGCATCCCGCGGCAGCGGGCAGGGTGCTGTCCTCCGGGCGGTCGGACGCACCGCGGCGATGCGGGGAGACCCTCCACGGGGGGCGGGCAGAGCCGCATGGGCGGCTCAGAGCAGGGCTGCTGCCCCCGCAGCCGGCGACGCGCGGGGGCTGGGGCTGGCTCTGGGGGTGCCGGGCTCTGGGCTGCTGCCGCTGCAGCGAGGAGCAGCGAGGAGCGGCGAGGAGCGGCGGGGAGCGGCCTCCTCCCGCTTTCGGGCTCTCCCTCCGCTTCACCTGCCGGCCGGGCGCGCAGGTGAGGGGCGCGGGCTCCSTGCGGCCGCCGGTCCGTGCCGGGCGGGCTGGCTGTCGCCAGCCGTGTCTTCAGCCCGGGAGGCCCGGGGAAGGAAAGGGGCCCTGGAAGTGCCCCCACCGCGCGGTCCCAAGTCCGCTTTAGCAGTCAGGCATGGAGTTGAATGGAAGTTGCATTCTTTAGCACGCTCTGCTCCAGGAGGCACTTTTCTTTTTTTCCACGGAAGGGAAATAGGTTTGAGAGCAAACTGGGGGAAAGGAAGAAATACCAAGGGAGCAAGAGCCACATTATGTTTCCATTTTCCTTTAATGAAGGCCCTGTGGAGGTGTATTTGAAAACACAGGGTCTCCTATGCCTTCAAGGAGGGTGAGAACACTGTGCTGGCTGGTTCCAGGGCCATATGCAGCGTATGGTGGCCAATGAAATGGGGCCTGGCTCGTTCTCTTGCTTGTCTTGGCAGCCTGCTCCATGGCTTGCATTACCAGCCCTGGAACACAACCACTGCCAAACTGTGAGTGTGTGTGCGTGTGTGTGTGTGTGTGTGTGTGTGTGTTTGGACTCGGAGAGCTCAGCAGAAGCAAATGCTTCTGCAGTTCAGACCAGGATTTTTTAGCTAGTTTTGAGAAAACTTGCATTAAAAACTCTGTCTGGAGGCTCTTGACAGAGTCTGCGCTAGGAATTTGTAGAAGAAAGCTTGCATGAGGGCATCTGGGAGTTCCAGTCTTTGGAGTTCAGATTCTTAGTATGAGTTAGTGTGCAGGTTATTGCCTCTGGTTGCTTGTTGAGACACCTATGGATGCTTTTCCTGCATCTTCCCAGTTGAGTATTTCCCTCTTTATAGGATGCAAAGGTCTCTCTTCCTTGCCAAGGAAGAGTAAATACTCTCTCACACCTCTTGCCTCCTTCTGCCCTGTTCATCTGAGCAGTGCTCAAGCACCACTGAGCATCTGCTCTGTGGTCTCATTCTCTGTTCTAGTGTTAGCTACTTCAGCTGCATTGCCTGGGCCAGGTACTTGGCAGCATGCAATATCTTGAGTGTGAAGCTGTTGAGAGGCTCTTTTCACTGTAGTGGCTGTTCATGGTGGCCCCAAGAGCGAGGGAGGCAGAGCCATGGTGAGTGGCATGGACCCCTTGCCAGCATGTCTGTGTGTCCTGCAGTGCCAGTGCTGCAAGGCGGGGGCACTGCAAACCTCGTGCCATCTGTCTTTGGCTGCATTTCTGGTTTGCTTGGACAGTCCAGAGTATCAATCCAAACATTGCAAGCTATTYTAACATTCAGCCGGGGAGCTGAAGGCAGATACGGCCTGAGCAGTGCTGTTGCAAGCTAGCCAGAGCTGGTCTTTATATGGATTAGAGGTCTTTGTGGATGACCCTGGTATTCAGGGCATAATTTTGAGGAGTTTGTAGGGGGGGTGGGGGCTCTCATCTCTGAGGCCATCCTTGCCCCTAAGGGCAGAGCTTTGTACTGGAGCAGGATTGTCTTCTTGAAGAAGATTCTAGCTCTGACCACATGTGGTTATGGAAGGTCCTCAGTAATTTCAACAAGTCAGTTGTTAGGCTGCAGCTCAGRTGCTGAGTTTTTCTCMGACCAGGATATTCCTTCCTTCTCARATCCCTTTGAGCTGTTTCAGGTACAAATAAGATAGCTTTTACCTTCCTGCTCTGTACTGCTGTCCAGTGGGTGGTGAAGCCACAAATAATTAATTGCCATCTTAATGATACTGTGATAATTAATGACATTTTTTCCCACTTATTGCATTTAACTGTTGCAATAGAGGAGCCTTGCTATGCTAGGTAGTGTACAAAACCCTGCTGTTCCAGGTTGCTTCCAAGACAATCACTGCATTGCAGTAGTAGGAGCAGCTAAACTGGAGCTTTTTACTGCCCTGTGAAGATATGGAGGAAAATGCTCTGGGAGAAAGGACTGTGAGCTGACTGCTTTGCWGATGGTAAATGGGGATTATTTCCAAAGCTGAGGACTGGAGAACCAGTATCCCCCCTCCTCATAAAAGGGATAAGAAGTCAAAGCATTGGACAGGCAGGTGTCGAGGCCTGAYGGTGGGACTCAGTTGGATGAGGGGCTGCAAAATGGCATTTCTGCCAAGGAGATGCTATCTGCTCTGGGCTGCCTCATGTGCACAGTGTAAGAAGCTTTGAGCTTCCCTGATGGAGGAGGGAGGGCAGCAGGGCTCTCTGCATTCCTGTTTTTAGAAAGCTTTTCATAACCTTCTGTCTGTGAATGACTCGGATGTTCCTTCTGCCAGCTAGATGTGCAGGACTGAGCCAGAATGTTCCCACTCATGAAACAGGTTTAGAATTCTGTCTCCTGAGGAACAGTTCTTTACAGCTCCTTCCTCTGTTCAACATTATGGCCCCCACTCACTCTGTGAACTGGGAGTGGGAGGTTACATGTATGGGTGTTCACAAACCCTGCAACTCTTTTCCCACCGCATGGGATTGGCTGTGGGCAGAAAGGCACAGCAAGAATGGCAGCTTGGAGTGTCTGTGGGAAGGGCACAGATGCATCTTTGGACCTGGTTGTAGGAGCTGCCTCTCCCTCCTGAGATGGCAGTTGAGTGTGGAGGTACTACAGTGAGTAGTGAGATACTATACTGTCCTGCATTCTGAGGTGGTGTGTTCCAACTCAGTGTACTTGGTAGGCCATGCTGTGACCATAACTCTAACTGGCCTTTAAATAATGGGGAATTTCTGTCATGTCATAAAACACTAGGCTACCTTAGGTCCTTGGTAAAGAGAGCGCATGCACATTTTTATCCCAGTGGATGTCACTGCAGCTTTTCARTATCTATAGGTGGTGGGTTCCTTAGCATCAACAGGTTCTGGAACTGATTGAATGAATACACAGTGGTTGTTGTTAAAGTCCATGCTTACTGGCACTGCTGCACTGGTAAACACCGGTTACCCCCAAAGGGCTTGTCTGCTGCTGTGCTCTCATGTTTGGCAAATAACTTTGACACTGATCACTGTGGCGCTTGGCACTGGCACTGCGAGTTACTGCTTTTAACAGTGCAGAGCAGAAGCTTGGACAGAAGATGAGATGTAAGGTGTCACTCAAAACTAGAAACTTCTAAAGCAGATAAGAGTTGTGTGGCAGTGGGAGAGTATAATGTTTTACACAGCAGAAGAAAGCAGTAATTGCATGGCAAAGTACTTGTGGCACTGGGACTATGGAGTAGTGTCTTTCTGCCTTCATCATGCTTAACATGGTGCAYGCTGGGGGCTGAATCTGGAAGTGGAAGGTCTGTAGGCTTCAGACCATTAGTACCCAGCAGTCTTCTCAGACAGAAGAGTCCAGGTGGAAAAAAGAAAGTAGCTCAGAGCTTCAGAGGAGTGATAGCCATCTGCCCCGTTTTTGTTTAGGAAGTTACATTCTTGGGGCCTGAGAAGTTGGGTATGTCAGGAAAGGGCTTTTATATAAATCATCCTTCTGCTAACAGAAGAAACCAGATAGATTCAATGTATGACATACAGACTGAGCTAACTTGAWTATCAGAAACTAAAAAAAAAGGTTATAAAAAGGCAATAAAGCCATAGCAGAATCTAAGGAACTGGAAGTTGCTTCTCATATATGGTAGTGCTGCTTCTGTTCTCCCAAGCAGAATTATTATTCCCTGTTGGCCAGGAGCAGATGAAAGGCCAGTTGCTATGACTTAGGTGCTCCAAGACCGTGCATACAACTGGAAATATTGTGTTAGGTGCTAACACACTGATGAAGAGATCAAAGATTGCTTATGTGGTGGCTTGCAGACTTTGGCAGCGCTCTGATGCGTGGCAGCTGACAAGTAATGGCAGGCACCCAGGTCGAGCCTGCTGAGAGAATAGCAGGCAAGCATGGCCTTCATTCTGCAGGCAGCATGGAGAGGGGCTGCTGGGACAGACTGTGCCTCAGTGCGGCGCTTAACATGGGCAAAAGAGAAACATGCTGGTAGGTACAATGTCAGAATCTGCTGGCTGGCAATATTAGATGCCAGACTGGCTCTCTAAGCATCAGAAGGGTACTTGGATCAACCATTCCAGATGTCAGCACATGTGAAATAGCTTATGTTGTAAGAAACTGTGATTATATTATAGACAGCAAAATTGAAAATAAGGCTGCAAATAGCCCTCTCTCTCGCCAACGAAGCTGACACCAGAGATAAGGCAGTAATGGCAATTTAAATTGAAGTGTGACTGTCAGAGCCTGCTTTGGGATGTYATGGTCCTCTCTGCTGGATTATGCTCTTGACGCAACAGTAGCAACTGCATTTAGTTTATAAAGAAACAAACAGCGCCTCCGGATAAGTGAGGATACATAGAATGCTGGTACAAACTGGGGCAGCCTATGTGCAGGGAATTGAATGTGTGATTTCAACACAGGTAGGCATTTCTGTGCCAGTTTTAGTCTGTGGGTAAGAATAGCAGTGAAGAGGTGGCAGGAGGGGTGTGAATACAGGCTAGCAACCGGAGTACAAGCCCCCAGGGATACTGGGTTATGTGAATTATGCCCACGCACGTTAGATTTATGCTGTAACTGCTGTGCAAAATCAATTTTTTTTTTTTTTTAAAAACAACCCTAAACCAAATAAAGAGTCTCCTGAAAAAGCAGCAATCAAATCAATATGGGAAGAGAAAACCCATTAAGGAAAAAAAAAAAAAGCCCAAAAGAAGATTAGAGCTGCAGCAGAAAGAATAGAAGGGTATGTGAGGACTGTGTCACCGAGGAAACTGAGCAACTATATGGGACAGGAACAACTTGGTAAAGCTTCTTCCCTCTAGATTGTGCGTTTCAGCGGACAACAGACTCTGGCAGTAGTGGAAAAAACTAGGAGTAAAGGGTGCTGCCTGTAAGAAATAGGAAATCAACCAGTGTCACAAACTGCTGACTATAAGGACATAATTGGARAGCAAAGCACAGAAACACTTGAAACTGGTGGAAAAGATGCAGCAAAACCATAGTGAGCAAAGCAAGCTCTACTGTTGCCAGCTTTTTGGGGCTGAGACTGCTGATAAAATAACTGAGTTGACTGAAACCACAAGAAGAATAGCGCCAAAGCAAGGATGCAAAATTACTGCAATAATTAGGAGGGTTTACAGACATTTCGGCAAGAGGTCAAATCTTCTGTTACAGCATCTTCACCAGAATAWGGGAGTGTAGAGGCAAAACTAAGGAGATACAAACTGAATTTTGACCCATGAAATCATGTGTTGACCAGATTTTTGCTGCAAAGATAGTTGCTGAAGAGAGTATTGAATGCAATAAGCTATTCATCATTGAACTGAAGTTGTAAGAATGCTCTAATTCACTCTGGAGCATCTTGATGCAAGACTGCATATTCTCTTTCCCCTTGCTGTGTTACTGTTGGCTTCATTATGTGAAAAAGTATAGCTGATATAATGCATAGAAAGGGGTTGTGTGGTTCAAATATAGGACACCAAAAAGCCTAAGTCTTACTGAAGACATGACATTTTCAAGCTTATGTGAAGAGATGTTGAAAGACCACCAGACATTGAGGGAAAAAGGCTGTGTTATGAATCAGTTCTGAAAAAAATGTTGAGKAAGAATCCTAAAGTGACTAAAATTACTAAAGCACTGTGATAGAAGGTGAAGGAATACAGAGGTGAGTTGGTTCATGTGTCTTAGAAGTAGCAAACACTGCAAGGGAATATCCAGAAAGGAATTAAGAACTGGCAAGGCACCAGCTATATTCACCCCATCCAGTAAGATGTGGCTGTCGAAAAGCTGGTCAAACTCAGATCCTGAACTTTGGAGTTCTGCCCTACCATGTGAATGTGGTAGAATATGCTGGAGCTATAGGTAAGCATGTCTGTGTCTGCCAGGGTAACAGTCTTTGGGAAGAAAACCAAAGTGTTTTATAGAATTCCAAAATGCTCTGCCTTTTTTTACATGATAAAAGTACAACTTCTTACCTCTGGCACTCACCAGAAAAGAATGTGAAACTGTCTGGGACTTGGGATGGAAAGAAAGTTGTGTTTGAATTAGGATGAAGAAAAGGAGTGGAATAAACTTGATATTTGTCCAAATTTGAGTCCCTGTAATCAGCAGCAGTGACAGTGTCTGTGACTAGTGCCATCAAGAACTGGGGATAGGTTTGTCACTGCACACTTCCTCTGCAGGGAGGGATGATACCTTTCCTCATTCCTTTTTATTTCCATGATTATGGCCCTGCTGGGAATGATGTTACGTTCCTCTCCAAGATCTAACTCAGCTTGACTGTTGGCAGTTCTCAATGTGCTCCTGAGTGTTCTGACCCCTTAGCAAGATCTCACTTGTAGAAGACACTTCTTCCCCCTTTCCACCTAGTTCTCAGCTCATCATAATGTGCAGGTTTTTGGTTTTCCAGAAGGCTCCTGGYGCTTTGATCAGATTTAGTTGACACTGATGGAGGTGTGATGTGGGCTTTGGCAGTGCAGTACTTGGATCCAGGATAAATTTTTAGAGCATATTGGATASTGGGCCAGCCCCTTCACTCTGACCAGTGTTGTGTGTTACCCTGATATGGAGGCTATTTCAAGGCATATTAAGCTACCAGTTCAAAGACRCAGAAGAAAAAATATATGCCAGAGAAAACAGTATTTTCTCAAATCTTTAGCCAGTTGTCCCCAGCGAGCTGCCCCAGGCTCAGGTATGTATGGGGCAGGGTGCTGAGTGGTCAGGTTGTCCCGCAGTCTGAAGAATGGATTTCTTCTTCCTCCTTATTTGATAAATTGCAGTGACCCTACATTCAGCCTGCCTGAGGACCTGGGCTGTCTAGCCTGGGTGCTGTCAGCTGCATGTCAAGGTGAAGGACAATTAAGCACTGCCTCTCCAGTCAGTCAAGGGAGGGGATTGTCCTGCTCTGTGTGGCCTTACCTTGCATACTGTGGCCAGTTTTGGGCACCACAAGATAATAAAGACATGAAGCCATTAGAGACATCCAAAGTAGGGCCATGAGAATGGTGAAGGTGGAGGGAAAGCCGTGTCAGAAGTGGCTGAGGTCACTTGGTCTGTTCAGCCTGGGGAAGAGGCTGAAGGCAGATCTCATTGCRGTTACAACTTCCTTGTGAGGGGAAGTGGAGGGGCAGGTACTGATCTCGTCAATCCTGTGAGCGGTGACAGGACTGGAGGAAATGGCATGAAGCTGAGTCAGGGGAGRTTTAGGTTGGATATTGGGAAAGGGTTCTTCACCCAAAGGTTGGTTGGGCACTGGAACAGGCTCTCCAGGGAAGTGGTCACAGAACCAAAGCTGACAGAGTTCAGTTAATGTTTGGAACAGTCTAAAGCACATGGTGTGACTCTTGGGGTTCCTGTGCAGGGCCAGGAGTTGGAGCTGATGATCCTGATGCGTCCCTCCAACTCAGCATATTCTATGAATAAATTAAAACCAAGTCCCCCAAGTCTGAAATGGATTTTGACAACCAGTGCTGGGCTCAAGTCAATTCTCAGCCTGAAGCCTGTAAAAAAGTGGGCCAGRGCCCCAAATCACTCTGTGGGTGACTTCAAGTGGATGCTCATATACTTTAGCCACTGATTGTTGTTTTATTTTATTTTTTAATTTTAACTTAAGCTGTTCAAACTGGGGATGGACGTTTGCTGGTGAGGGGTGCGCTGCTGTTGGCAGGTATCTTCCTCAGTGCTACAGCATGTCACTTTGGTGGCAGCATCAGGGAAATGGCCAGCTCTGCCATGTGTACAGATATCCCAAATTGGTAGACTGAATTTAACTGCAGCTCTGTCCTGTGGCAGTGTGTCCTGGGAAGAGCCTCTGGAATCACCTCCCCTTTGCCATGCCACCTCATTGACCCGGTGCTTTCCTGCTAGAGAGTGACAATCTCTGAGGAAGATGGTAGGGATTTAGGGACAGTCCTTAAATAACTTGTGTTCCCCTGTCTGGAGTGCAGCCTAAGGGTGTGATGGTGCTTGTTTCTGGAGGAGTGAAACATCTTAGCCATGTGYAATCCTGAAAGGAAGGGGGAGGAAGGTAGCATGCATCTGCAGAACCTGGCTGCATTGGGCATCTCTGGACCCTGTACAAGATGTCAGTGCAGATTCTGGTACAAGATGTTAGTACAACATCCACTGCAGCTGTGGATTACAGTTGTCTAGTTCAGAAATTGCTGTGGAAGAAGGAACACTTTGCATCAAGTTTAGGTCCTTGCAATTGCAAGGAGTTGACCTATAGTTTTTTTCTGGGATCAAGTGTCATTACACAGTGTTTTCTATTTTCTGTCACCAAATGGGCAGGAGTCTATTTTATCAGATAGTATCACTTCTCTTGAGAAGTTACTTGTCTGTCTTTGCCTGTCTTTTCCTTTKCATGCTTTAACAACCTTATGCAGATCACCTTCCTGCTGCCCAGCTTCCTCTCCCACAGCAGTGCTCCTGGAACTGCTGAGCACTGTCTTGTTCTTCCCTTTCTGGTCTCCTATGGGATGATTGGAGCAGAGGGCTTGACTTCTGCTTGCCAACTCTTTATGGTTTCTGTCTTGTTGCATTTACTTTCCACACTCATTCTCAAGTCCTGTTGGCCACAACTGAGCAAACCATGCCAGGGGACATCTCATACTGACACCTGGACCTCTTTGTTGGCTCGTTGGACTGTATGACAGCTCACAGCTCATCACAGTTTGTAGGCACTCTCTGCTGCAAATCCTCCTGTCTTGTCACACCCGTACAGYTTGCACAGCACCCGTGCTTGGAAGCCGTGGAGCTTGCATTCGCCTCTCCGCCCTTGACTAGCTTGTATGCTTGTGTTTCCTTCCCTTCTGCTGCTTGTCTCTGGTTCCTTCACATTAACAAATATATTAAATAATCTCCTTGTTAAAGAGATGTGCCATCACCAAGAAATCTATAACTTCTCTGTTATGATTAACCCTGTTCAGCCTGCTCCCACTGACTCCACTTGAGCAGGGTGGCTGGACCAGGCAATTTCCAGAGGTCCTTCCCAGCCTCAACTGTTCTGTGACTCTGTGATCCAGCAGCTCTGGATTTCACATGCAGCTTTACTCAAGTTTTCAGCCTGGTACTGCCCCAGGATGGCAAATGCTGAGCAGCTGTGGCAGCTGGCTTGGCAGTGTGTGCATGAGTGAGTCTGCTTGGCCCAACTGTCCTGCCTGGACYGAAAATCTGTATTGCCTGTATTAGTCTCTCAGCAGATGAAGGGAGATGCTTTGGAAAGAGCAGGGCAAGTGCCTATTATCATTCATTTAATGGTTCTGCTTGCTCTGACACTTGGTKCTATGAAAGCTTCCATGAGTTTCCCCAACTGTTTGTAGAATCCTGCCTTGTGACTGGCTCTTGTGGTTGCAGGAAGCTGCACAGTGAGATTTTAGGTCCACTCCTTTAGCCTGTTTCTCTCTCTTGACATTGCTGGTTCTTATCCCTGCTGTGTTGGTGCCTCCTGCCCAGGGCCAGAAGGGGGTGGATGCCTGGAGGTTTCTGCAGTGTACTGAGACTTGTCTGGCTGGGCAGAGCAAGGAAAGCAGTGCACATGCACTGGGACATGTGGTTGAGTTGAAGAGGGGCAAATGGCTGCTGTGTGGACAGAAGTTGACTCTGCATATTGTAAATAGGTAACTTGTGAGTATCCCAGGCCAGTTACACAGCAGGAATGTACTTGCATTGCCGCCAACAACCATCTGCTCCCATGGCTTTTGGACTCATGTAACAGCTTCAGTTCTATGGATTTCCTATTTTAGGTTTAATTTTATTCTTTTATCTCTTTGGTGCTTGTTCTTCATATTTATTGAAAATTCCCTTTCTCCTCTCTGTAAGTGACTTGCTGAAGTTTGCCCTGATCCTGTTCTTACTTTTACTGCAGCTTTTTTTCTTTCATGATAGAAGAAGCCTTTTGAACCTTGCACCATTTCCCTTCCCTCCAGCCTTTGTTTCCTCATATCTGTGCTGGGAGATGTTTGTACAGTGGCAATTTTTTTCTTGCAGTTTGATTCGTGTGCTGTGTCCCAGCCTTGACCAGTGAGCTGAGCCTGCCCAAAAGAAATCCAGCCTAGGGCATATTATGGTCCTCTTCGTGCCGTTTTCTTCTTGTACTAATAATCCACACATTAATTAATTAAGATTCAGTTAAGAGCAAGTCTTGACCTGCAGTACTCCAGAGAAAGGTGTCCATAGGATCACATCACTGTCATTGCAGCCAGCTCCTGTTCTTCTGGTGCTTTGCCTCTCAGGTCTCTTCTCTTCCTGATCTATACCCCAGTAACTTATTCTTCCTGGCAGGATTCATATAGATTCTGCTTATTATACAGATTCTGCTTATTCTCTGCCTTTGCCCTTCCTGAGGGAGAATGTCTCCCTTCCTTAATTCATATCCCCTTAAGTGATGGGATTATGGCATGAGTTTGGCTTGTGCTGTGTCATGAGGCCCTGTAGCTGGGTTGTAACGGGATGTCTCACTCCCCCTGCAGCCCACGAAGCTGTTTCCCCTGCTATGATGCCAGGGCAGATCCCCGACCCGTCGCTGACGGCTGGCGCGCTGCCTGGGCTCGGCCCCTTGACAGGACTGCCTGGCACAGCCCTGACCGCCGAGGAGCTCAAGTGCGCCGACATCCGCAACATCGGGGCCATGATCTCGCCACTCCACTTCCTGGAGGTGAAGCTTGGCAAGAGACCCCAGCCTGTCAAAAGTGAGGTGAGTATTGTGGGCTGCTGGCTGCAGGTGGCCCTGTAGGGCTGTTGTCTGCACCTGCCTACATTTCCCTCCTGCCTATGCTGGATGTCCTACCAGTGTGGCCAGCAGCGTGTTGTAAGCTGTCAGCTGCCTGTTTGGGGATCTGCATGCTTGGTGGCAGCTGCTCCACTATCTCCCTCTTCTCCCTGCCTGACTTTCTGTCCCTGGCTGCCAGTGGTGGCCTCAGTGTCCCAGACCTGACTGGCCCCATGCAGCCATTGGCAGCCAGCTGCACTCAAACACTGCCTGTGGAGTGGGGTCTGGTGCAGCCAATGTGTCCCTAGGTTGGGTCACACACCCAGAGTAGAACTCATGCAACCTGTCACCCATGTCAACAAGTCGTTGGTGCTTCTGGCATTGGTGTTGCCTCTCCAGCGGGGATGAGGTGTGGTGTAKAGCAGTGACAAGTGGTGTAGAGCAGTGGCTCAGCCTGTACCAGAGGCACTGGTGGCTGGGAGCTGCCCCTTCTCCATTGCTTGGGATGGGCTCTGGCTTCACTACGAGTCCCTGGGATAGGGAAGGTGGGTAATTTCTGCTTGGTACCACAGGCTGTCATGTCAGAACAAGATTGAAGAGACTAGGGAGATGCTTGGACAGTGTTCTCTTTGTATGTCTGTCCCATGTGTTGGTTGTCCAGTGTTTGACTCTGACTGTACTGGTGCTGGGTGTTTGCACCTCCTACTGCCTGCAGGTGCAGCTGGGAACTGACCGTTTCAGAGGTCCCATGTTGGTGAGGGTGGTGGCTGCTGTCAGAAGATCCCTTAAGCRACCTTCTGAGCAGAGCATTTTCTCCTGTATGAGGTTACCTTGGATGATGCTGTGTGAGGATGGGGTGATGTGTGTTCTCTGGAAGCATGAGCAAGAAGATACTAGAGGATGTGAAAAGCTGCCTGTGATGAGCTGTGAGCTGAAAAGGGTAAAGCAGCAGTTCCAGGGAGCAGCTTGGTCTCCAAATGGTGCTGACGTGATTTAGCCCAATTCTTTTGGCAGAAGCTCAGCAGCAGCCAGGCCCACCAGTGCARAGCATCCCTGTTCTTTTCCCCCACCCCTTGAGGTGCACTCCTGCAGGTAGAACTGGTATGATGTAGTCCATCAGGAGCTCTGTGCCCAAGAGAGTGTCCAGTCAGCTTGTGCACCCTGGAGATGGGCTGGGAAGGACTAGGAAGCTCTGCAATGGCAGGAGCTTAGGCTAGGATACTGTGGGAGGCCATAGTGAGGCCCTGGGGGATGCTAATGGCTGTGATTCCTCTATGGGCAAAGCAATCACGGATTTGTGACTGAAGCTAAATTCTCTTCCAAGATCTTGGCCTAGGTATCATGCAACAAATGGGCTGCAATTCCTGCCTTGCTTCATGGGTTGGGGAAGAAAGAGGGTGGCTCTGGCTGTGCTGTCCTCCTGGGCCCGGCTCCTTTCCTGGGGCATCTCAGGCACCTCTGAGCTGGCCCTGCAACAGCTGCTTTTGCTTTTTGAGGGCATGGATTTGTGATGTCACTAGCATCTGTGTAACAGAGACAGGGCAGTTCTGGACTGCCACAGCAGGTACTGGAGTTGCTGAGTGTCCTCTGGACATGTGGAGGAAAGAGAAGATGAAATCAGCAGCCCCTGCACAGCTGCCTTCCGTGCAGCTGGTTCCTCCCCTGCATGGCCTGTGAAGCTGAGGAGTTGAAGACAGCAAATGGAGCTGCCCTTGGCAAGGCTTTGCAGCAAAAGCCTGAGGGAGCAGGAGCAGTAGCTGCTTATCCCATGAGTAGCCAAGAAGCTGCCCACGCATAATTTTGCAATGCAGCCTGCAGCTGCTTTCCTCTTGCAGGGAGCTGGAGCCCAGGAACACTGGCTGCTGGCGTGCCACTCTCTGTGTGATGCCTGGGAGGACAGGCTGTTCCCCATGAGTCTGGGCAAGGCACTTCTCTCTGCTCTGCTGGGGTCACCAGCATCTCCTGGTACTGGGGTGTTTGTGCTGGGGACACACACAGAAACCCACCCAGTGGGTGTTGGGTGCTGGCTTCTCTGCAGGGTGATGGACAGCTCCACGGGGCAAGCTGCTCTCCTCTTGGGGCAGCTGTAGACAGTGCAGCCAGGATTCTCCACCACTGAATCCCACCTGGGGTGCTCTGTCCAGCTCAGAGCCCTGCTCCTCAGACAGATGATCACCTCAGTCTCTGAGGCTGCTGACTGTAACRATTTAGGAGGCATCCCCAGATATTCTACCCACAGGGATCCCCTGGAGATCAACTGCTGAGACATGCTTTTGGGTGATACATCATCACTATCCCTTGTGCCTCTGAATAACGTCCTAAACCTGAGCACCAGGGCCATGTCACCTTTGTGAACTGAAATCAARCAGAAGCAGATGGGGAAAACCTGCTTTCTTGAAGAAGAGAACTTCTCTATATTTAGAATTTGTATATTTCTAATTCCTGGAAATGTTCAAGACCAGGCTGGATGGGGTTTTAGCAACTGYTCTACTGGAAGGTGTCTCTACCAGTGGCAGAAACGTTGGAAGTAGGTTATCTTTAAGGTCTGTTCCAACCCAAACCTTTCTATATTTCTATAAGGCTACAGGAGCTGTGGTCAAAAAACAGAGCGACGAGTTCAAGCTACTTCTGTCTGTGCAGAGCCACCTTCCTTGAGCATCTGTGCTCCATCTAGAGGACACAGACCTTTGCTGGGCCCTCTATGGGGTGGAGGTGGGGTCAGAGACAGGTAGCTTATTCTRTAATTCTGGTTGAATGGACCAGCTGGGCATGGAAATGTCAGGCAGTTCTCAGGGCTGGTGCAGTTGGTGGTTGCTCTTCCTGTCACACCCCAGGATGTACTTTTGCAGCAAAGTTGGGGGGTGTTTCTTGGGCTTTTGAGCTGTGACCGCATGACCTCTCTGCACCCTCCTGTTAATCTTGAACTAAGAAGCTGTCTTAGAGGTAGATGAGTGATTGGTAAATGTGTAGAAGGGGAATTATGTCTACCCTGATGTCCATCTCCTCTTAATTTCTGTCAGGAATTTTGTAAGAGCTAGCAGTGGAATGTAGAGTTAGAGCCTTCCTGATGACTTCTGCTAACACCTGTCACATCTGAGTTGTGTGGGTGCAGTGTAAGCTGTCAATCTCTGACTGGTGCAGTTCCCATCCTAGCTCTCCCAAGTGTGATATATTGGTGCTCCATAACATTGCCTTGGCAAAGGAATGATAGCAGCCTGGMATTATTGAAGTCTGTGCATGGCTTTTGCTGGATTTGCTTAATATTTCAGCCCCAGCTAAAACAGTAASTTCAGTGTAATACTTGAAAAGTAAGATAGAGAAGATGCAAAACCTGTTAGTGCTATAAACCTTGGACATCACCTTTTACAGCATGCTACATGCTGTGTATTGGATGTGCAGCTTCCTTAAGATACCCCTTCACTGTAACTTTGCTGAGTCCATGTTTTGTCCAGCCCTTGTGCATCACACTGGGGTGTTTTCATTAGTGGGTTTTGGACTTGGTGACTATTAGCAGTGTACACAGTTCACTGTGATTGATGGCACCTGCAGCCTTCATTGCCATCAGGCACTACTGGTGCGCCCACACGTGGGGTGATCTGGTGGCCATCAGGTATCAGTCAATAGGAATAAGGCAGTTCAGTCTGATACCTAAAATTTCAGAGTCCCAGGCCAAAAGTGGATGAAGGCACTAGGAACCTTTTCTATCCATGCCACAAAGTATGACCTGGCTTCACAGTGCTTTCAGCRCTCAGATTTGTCTTGAAGGAGCTGGTTTGGGTTCTTTGGGATGTAGGCATGCCATAGACCATTTTCAAGGGCTTTGTAGCATATATCCATAAATACTTTGATTATGGGTTTCCAACCTATAGGGCTTACCAGCCTGGCCTGTGTGGTTTGAGTCAGAGAGCACAGAGAAGTGAATCATGGCGAACAATGCAGGCACTGCTGTGTCCTGCTTCCTTACAGGGGATGCAGAAACCTGTCCCCACCTTACTCTGGTAGCCCTGTGATTCAGGCAGTGCTGAAGCTGCAGCAGGCAGTCCCAGGTATTGGAATGAGGCAGGCCCAGCTGGAGTATCTTTTGGGTTTTTCTGCCTCTYGTCTTTGGCTGTGTGTGGTGCTTTCAATGTCTGTGCTCACAGAGCTGTGCCTGTAGATGTCTGTGTGACAAATTGCCTGTGTTTCTGGGAAGGCGCTCTGTTCTCTGTCTCTGCCCCCTCTCAGGGAGGGAGCAGCTCTGTGAAGGGTTATCTATCCCCTGCAAGCTATGTCTTCAGCAGTGGGTACAGGTCTCCCTCTCTGTCTTTCCACAAAGAGGAGTTAGAGGTTGTAGCAGCAGCACACTTGTTTCCTGGTGAGGATTAAATCATGTCACTGATACCGGATGGCTGCCACATTGCCCTGCCATGGGTGGGGGTGCCAGGTGCTCACCCCTACCTCCTGCTCTGATCCACACCTGCTGGCTCTGATCTGGGTTTCTCTATCTTCTTGTAGCTGGATGAGGAAGAAGAGAGGAGGAAAAGGCGCCGAGAGAAAAACAAAGTCGCAGCAGCACGATGTCGTAACAAGAAGAAGGAGAGGACGGAGTTCCTGCAGCGGGTGGGTGCCCCAATCTGTCCCAGGGCATGGCAGGGCTCTCCCTAGAATGGTGCTCCAGCTTCAGGCAACATTGCCTCCTGAACTGCCCCTTGCTCCAGTGCCCTTATCTGGAAAATACAGCCCCTCCTTTTCATAAGGCTGTGAAGGTGGTGACCATCTGGTACATGCCCAGGCAGAGCTTACTTGTGGTACCAGGGCTGCAGAGGGCTGGAGGTGGCCTCTGGGCTTAGGGTGAGAAAGGAATGATGATGCCTCTGCCTCAGTGCTGGAGAGGAGCACCCACATGAGTGTGGCACAGGACAGGGGCTGGCAGCATGCTGGCCCCTTGACCAAAGTCCTGAAGGTTTTCCCATTCAGAGGTCCAATGTTCACTCACCTGTGACCCCAAGGCAGGAAAACTGTCACAGAACCTTGCTGCCTTTCTGTAGAGAGTGGTGAGACATGGGCAGATTACACAGCTTGGGACAAGGAGTAATTTCACAAGGGCAGATCCTTACAGATGGAGTTGGGTGAAAACTTAAATATGGGTTTTTCCCAAGCATCTTATCAGAGCACGGAAAGCAGCCAGACAGAGGTTTTGCTGTGGTGSAGCAGAGATCTGCCCCTGCTGGTGGCTGTGTATTTCCCTGTGGTGTCACTAGGAAGCACAAGGCAGCAGGGCTGGGGATGAACTGTCTGGAGGGATGTGGTGCTTTGGCAGATCTTCAGTCTGCTCCCCTGCTGCAGTGGCTGAGGGGAAGCACTRAGCAGAGGTGGCTTGTTGGCCAAATTGTTTCTTGTATCTTGTCCTGCTAGATAAAGTCACATGCGGTTGTGTTCCTGTCCTGCTAGGAGTCTGAGCGTCTAGAGCTCATGAATGCTGAGCTGAAGGCCCAGATAGAAGAGCTGAAACAGGAGAGGCAGCAGCTCATCCTGATGCTGAACCGGCACCGTCCCACCTGCATCGTGAGGACAGACAGCATCAAGACGCCCGAGAGCGAAGCCAACCCACTGCTGGAGCAGCTAGAGAAGAAGTGAAGRTGGCACTGGGCCAGGAGGAGGAGACAGTGGTGCAGGGTCTTCCAGGGTCTCTAATGTATGTACTGTACAAAGAACTGCACACCTAGGCCTGGTGCAGCCAGGACCCAGTGGGCTTCCTTGGGAACTMTGAACCAAACATGGGAACAGAGAAGATCAGGAACCTGCCAACCATGTACTCTGAGGCTGGACCTGGGGGCAGTGCTGGTGGTGCCAGTGAGGGCAACCTCCCTGTGATACCTCATCGTGGCCCTTCAGCCTGCTCTCAGCCCTGGGACTCACAATGCCACAGCCTGTCCTGCAAGGACCACGCAGCCCGTGGGTGGCAGGGGCTGTAGGCTCAGGAGTGGCAGCTGTGCGGGGCCCACCAGCACCCTGCCCAGAGGCTGCTGCTGCTCCTGATGCACGCTCCAGAGGGAAACCCAAACCCAAGAACCACAAACACTTGATGCAGCCCCGTCTGGTGGGCAGGCCTGTCGGGGTTCGGTGGCGCAGGCGCCTCCCACAAGCACACTCAGTATAATGTTTACAGCCCAGCTGTCCGTGTCGGCCGTGCTTTTGAATGCACATTTTTACACTTTTTTAAAGTATTTTTTACAAAGTTTTTATACAGTGATCTCTATATGGATTTATATAATCACTAGATGTGATCCCATAGAAATGTATGTTATAATGGTCTGTTTGTTACAAACACATATGCCACAGTTATCTCCATTGTGTTACTTGTCTGGTAGCATCCAGCTCCTTTCCTGGCATGCTGGGACAGGAGCTCAAGTTGCYCTCTGCAGTGGTGTTGCTACCCTCTCCATCCATGTATGTCCTTCATAATATTCAGTTCTGTATCTCTCAGTAAATGTTACCTTTGCTTATGCTGTCCTCCTGTAGCTCTGTTTGGGTTAGCACTGTGGCAGCATCTGCCAGGGCTGAACAGGCCAGGTGTCTTCCTGGCTGAGTGGGATGAGGGAGCAGATCCCTGAGCTGTTTTTGGTGGTTCTGTTAGCAGCTGTGGGCCAGGAGAATTCACCCTAGAAATGCTGGRAATATTGGAGGCAGCTCTAACTATTGTCAAGCTCAGTGCTGCACCAAAGGAGATAGGCAGGCATGGCTTGCCAGCTGGAAAGGCAGGGAGAGACTATCACATCCTTAACTGGTCCTCCTTGTTTCAGTCCCAAATACAGCAGTTTGAACTCATTCCAGGGATGAGAAAGAAACAGTGGAGCTATCAYGATGTCACTGTGGTTGGTGATCCCTTTATATGCCTCTGTGTTTCCTTCTGCCCAGACCATGGAGTTTGTGGCTTAGATCTAATGCATTCCTTAGTTCCTGTCAGGAGCCAGTCTTCATACTTTGAAAAACATGATACCTCTGCCTTTTATCAAGCTCTGTTGAAAGGATGCAGAGCATGTGCTGGGCCTCCTTATCTCTTCAGGACTTTATTTCCATCTGCAAAGTTTCCCTGGTAATCTATTTCCTCTTTGGTGGTCAGCAGGAGCTACCTGTGCATTATCAGATGGTCCACATCATCTTGTCCACAGGCATCTTGTGCTTTTTTGCTCACCTGGAGAGCCTATGTGCTCATCTTTGTACAGGAGCATTCTCAGTCATTTGCCACCAGCCTTCCAGCAACATTGTCCGTGCTGCGGATGCAGGCGATGGCCCTTCTCTAGCAAAGAGCCCCATTGCAGTAAAAAATTCTGCTATGAAAACAGCTGGCTTGGAAGAGAATATAAGATGCACTTTGATTAACCATGCATGCAAGAAGCAGCCAGCAAAGACAGCAGCAGAAGAGAGATCTACATCAGTTTAATGCTCAGCTATTCCAGCTAAGGCTCGGGCAGGAGCTGAATCCTAGCAGTGCCCAGGGGTTGGAATGAGATGATCTGTAAACTCCTTCCTAATCCAAATCATTCCATGATTCTGTCACACAAACAACCTTCTGCTGCATTGCAGTCAGTACCAAGGAGTTTGACAGTCTAAGTTTAGGGCATTTCTTTTCAGGGGACTTGGTTGGGCTGTGACACAATGAAGTTAAAGCAGAGAGTTTAAAATTAAAGCTGGAGTGCAAACTCCTCCTGGTTCCCATAGGACACAAGCTATTTTATGTTCTTGACTCTGATAGCATCTGTTCTCTCAAAACCCAGTCCCCACCATAGCAGAGTTAAAAATTTCGCTATGGGACAGGTGCTTCACTGGACAGGCTGGTGCATTACAGTGGCATCTCTTGGGCACGAGCAAGAGCAGAAGGCACACGCTTGGAAAAAGCAACGGACACTTCTCAAAGGCCAGGAAGCCACCTCCTGGCCATCCCACACCACCACATCCTGTGCTGGGTGCATTTTGGACCATTAGCGAAGAAGAGCTGCACGATCTCGTACTTGTGCGCCAGAGCTCGGTGTCGGTGATGCTGGAGCCGGTAGCCTGGTAGCTGCGAGGCTGCTGCCAGCTCCACATTCCCGGTCCAGCTAGGCGCCGGGCTGCGTCCTCATCGTGGAGGGCGCACACACACGGACACACAGATCCCGCCCGTGAATAGCYGCAGCTGGCGGTAGAGCCGCGGCTGCTGGCCCTGGGCGCAGGAGCCCTGAGCACGGCAGTCGCTGCTGGCACACAGCGCTGGTCTCGCTCGCTGGCTGCTCCAGCCCGAGGTTCTCCGCGCTCCCCCAAACCCGCACACGAGGGTGTGGGCCGGTCGGCGGGCGGAACGCGGCAGTGCACGGGCACCGGGCAGGCCCGGCCGGTTCCTCTCCCTCTGCCGCCGTGCCGGCCGCTCTCCTCCCGTGGCCCCGCTGCTCACGGGAGCGGGAGGAGGCGGCGGGGCCGGGGCTGCCGGCAGGAGGCGCCGTGCGGCCGCGGGAGCGGCGGGGCCGGGCCGGTTCTGCGGCCCGACGGTCCCGGCACCGCTCCCGCTCGGACACGGCCCTGTGCGGGGCCCGGATCGCCGGCTCTGCCCCGCGGCTTGGAGAGCCCTCGAGCACCCACCGCCCCCGGCAACGGGCAGGGGGCTGGAGCACCTCTCTTATGAGGGAAGGCAGGGAAAGATGGGGCTGTTCAGCCTGGAGATGAGGAAGTTCTAGGGGTCCTCAGAGCACCTTTCCAGTACCTGAAGGTCTATGAGTAAGCTGAAAAGGGACATTTTACCAAGGCCTGTGGTGATAGGACAAGGAGAAACAGTTTTAAACTGGAAGAGGGTTTGTATTGTGTATAAGAATTTTTTAAAATGAGGGTGGTAAGGCTGGAATAGTTTGCCCAGACAAGTGACGAATGCCCCATCCCTGGAAGTGTTCATGGCCAGGACAGGACTCTGAGCAACGTGGTCTAGTTCAAGGAGTCCCTGCCCATGGCAGGGGGTTGAAACTAGGTGACCTTTAAAGATCTTATTCAAACCAAACCTTTCTGTCATTCTGTGGTTCATGGTGCCATCCCATGGTGCCAAATGGTTCTTGTTAAACATGTGAGCCCACTTGGCAACACTGGTACTTCCCAGCYATTTCACCTGCAGGCCTCTCTGCTTCTGATATACCTGCAGTGGCTCAACAACCAGGACTACCAGCAGAAACTTCCAGGGTGCCAGCAGCCTCCTCCAGGACATGCTCATCTCCTGTTTTGTGAGATCCACATTCAGGTAATAACTCTCATGCTCCTTCTCACACTCATTAGTTCAGACCAGCGCTCTCCTCAGAGTAATGTAATGCCATATTTTTCTGGAATGCTGGACAGGTGAGCTGCATCACTTTTCCATTGCTTAGATGTTTGCAACCTCTCTGGCATCCTTCAAATACTCCCCCAGTTCCCTCTGCAAAGCCACCCTTTCCTCTTTAYTCCTAAGGAAGGGTAGGTGCCACTTCACCCCAAATCACCAGGCCTGAGGCTGTGTGGGGTAGTGGGCTGAGAGTCCAGCTACAGTAGTTTGGTTTGAGTGCTCCACACTGCATGCCTGACTCTTCTTGCTGGACCCCTGACAAATGTCAAGACCCATGGACAGCAAGAACTTGGTTTCCCCAGAAGGGCCCCCTTCTTTGCCAGCTCCTCACCCCTCTCTCCTGCAGTCAACTCATCCTGAAGAGGTTTAGCAGGCCATCATGCTCCCAAAGCTTCATTGTGGCCCTCTTCCTTTCCTCATCCTCTCCCCATCCACCATCCCCATCCCCTTGTAAGCAAGGTGTTTGTGCAGTCCTGGGGGCAGGGACATCCAGCCCCTCTCCTCCACCTTGGCTTGCAGCTGCTTATGGGCAAAGGATACTTGGAGGTCATTACTTAGCAGTTTTTCACAGTACTGTTCTCACYTTGTCTTTGAAAAACTGCCTTCTCTGCCCTTCTTGTCAGGGGCTGAGGGTGACTCCGTGACCCTGTGGTAAGTGGTATCAATTAACCTTTGCCAGTGACCTGTCTCTCTTGTTTCATTCTGAGCCAAGGGCAACAGGTATTCATTTGTCTTTGTCCTTATTGGTTCTTCTACTCAACTTGCTGGAAAACAAGCCCCAAAAATCCCCAGCCTTGATATTTACCAAGAGTCACGGAAACTGCTTTGATTACCATGGGTGCCAGACTATGCTGAGCAGTACTGGCACCAGCACAGCCCATGGCTGGGTGCAGGACCGGAGCCAGGGAAAACTGCTGCCAGGATGCTCRCAGAGACATGAGAAAAACCAACTGCTGCTTCTCTGAGACTGGAAGCATCACTTGGCTTCCCACGGCTTTGCACATTTTTTGCTTGTTTGTGATCACTGGTTGCTGGCAATAGAAGCATGGGGGCAAGATGTTGGGAGGTGGGCACAAGCTGAGGGAATGGATCCATGGGTATCCCATGCTCACATAGAGACATCCTGCTTCTACTATGCTCAGGAAACTGCTCTGAGGGCAGAGCTGAGTGGGTCACTTGTCCCTGGTTAAGAGCATGAGTCTCCCCACACCATGTAGCTGGTGGGGTGGCCAGGGTCATCTCCCAGATGGGTGATGGAGACAGGCAGGGCAGCTGCTGTCAGAGGTGTAGCCAGCCCCAAGAGCAGGGAGCTTGCTGTCAGCAGCTCTGCCACCAACACTTTCCTTAGRAGGAAAAGATCCTTCCCTACAGTCAGCGGGTCTTGCTGGGCAGAGGTGGCACTCATGMTATCATGGCTGGAGTTTGCCTTTTCTCTGCATCTGAATCCCCAGAAGCAGAAGCCTGGGGAGCACCTGTCACTGCAACCAGGTTGTAATTCCAGGCACAGCCACTGCCTGGGATGACTTTTCCCCAAGCCTCAGCAGCCGTGACAGCCTCAGTGGCTCTGCCTGTGTGCAGCTGTGTCTCCTGTCCAGCACAGGCACATTTCAGCTCCTCACCACAAACATGGGGAGAAGTGGTGAAGGAGCTGGGACTGAGGCTAGCAGGGAGGCACAGAGCAGCTCACAAAGGCCAGAATCAGGCTTTGCAACCCATGCATTACTTGGGGCTGAGTTTGGGCTGTAGATATATTGTATGGCTGTGGGATGAGAGAGCTTAACGATCCTGAGCCTTTGGTTTTGTCTGTCAGGGTGAGCAAGAAAATATTCCCAATTAGCTGAAGTGGTGGGCTAATGTGGTAGTGAAAAACCCTCCTCCAGATGCCTTGCTGCTGAGTTAAAGTGGGTGTTCTTTGGTTTGGCTTTTTTAAGTAGAGTGACCAACTCAAGTGGACTTCAGCCCAGGGATACATTTGGCAGAACAGGCAATGGTGTAACTGCCTGTGCTGATAATTTCTTTGTGAGTAAAACCTGCCCAGGGGGTAGGGAGTGAGCCCAGGTGTACCAGGATGGCTTTAATGATTAGGAACATCTTGTGAGGAGTTTATTGAACTTACAAGAAGGAAGGAAGGACTTTCTCCAGCCCTATGCCCTGCTGTCCATGTGCAGTGTAAGTGGAGTTCCATGGGGATTGGGGAAAGGTTAGCYCCTGTTGAGGAGGAAAAGCTCTTGCTGCTCAAGGCAGGGGATGAGTCACCATGGGTAAAACTGACAGCTCTGCATCCCTGTCTAGCTCAAGGGACGGTGATAGGCAAAAAGGCCCTGTGTTAGCAATGTGATGGGCCTTTCCAGCTCTAGCTTCCTTCCAGCTGGAGCTCTTTGGAAATACCAGCATGAAGCTACTTCCAGAAGCCCACATGGATTTCAGCAAAAGCAGAATTAGAGTCTGTTTGATAATGAGGTTTCACTGCAGCCTGTCACRTCTCAGATGAAGCTTCAGGAACAGGATCGTTTGCCAGTAACCACCACCTTGTGCTGATGTTATCTAGTTTCTGCAGAATGAACTTGCTGAGTTGTCATCTGTGACACTGTCAGGGGAAGTCCTGACTCCTGACACTGCAGTTCCTGCCTCTGCTTTGCCATGGCCCCAATTCCAGCAGCATCATCTGGGCTGGTTGGATTTGCTGGACACTTGCTTGTGCTGAAACATCATGGGGCTGTCAGAAGGAACTGGGCAGCAAGGCTGTGCAGCAGGCCTGAGGTCTTGCRAATCCAGTGGAGCCACGAGCAGGCTAACACATAGTTTCTGGYTGAGGATAAAATGGCTACTGACAGCTCATCTGAAGGTGATGCTGAATGCCTGGTGACCAGACAAGCAGCAAGAGGGGGTTTGTGCTAGAGCTAATGTGTGGGTATTGGCAGGCRCCTCTCTGCATGTGAGCTACTGACTTCTGTGACAGAGGTGAATTCCGTGGGTGCCAGGCAGAGGCACTGCTGCATTATAGAGGTGTTGGCTGAGTGAGGCATCCCTTTTCTTCTGTGCAGATCTTCCCTGGAGGCAAAGTGATCTGATTCACTCACTAGCTCCAGCCAGCAGATAATGGATGAGTGGCTAAGGTAGTCAGGTGCTGGTGCATGACTGGACAGTGCAATGGAATCCCTTGCAGACAGCGTAACAGGCTGGCAAAGCCAAACTCACCAGTCCAAACAAATTCCCTCAGCTGCAGGCACAAGGTGTCCTCTGCCTGCAAAGTGGATGCAGGCACCTGTTCCRCTGTCTTTTGGATACCTGCAGGTTGCAGGATCATGTGCACAAGTTTTAGGAGCAATTTTAAGCCGGCAGTGTACCATGTGTGACATGGAGCCTCATTCAGGCAGGACTTTGGGGCAGCACATTTCTTACTGCTGTGGCTGCAAGGTCCCATGCTGCTCAGCATTGGGACCGGGGTAACCTCATTTCTCATAACCTCAGCATTTCTCCCAGCCATGCTCTGGAGCATGCCTAAATGCCAGCTGGCACCTAGGTGGTTTAGATGACAGTGCCAATGGATTCAAGGCTGTGCTTCAAATTCAGGAACGAGCTACCTGGTGAGTCCCTCTCACTCTGCAGCAGTGGGGAAAGGAGAAAGGCTGCATGAGGAATGGGATGAAGAAAAGTACATGGATCCTTTATAACTGTAATGCCATTCCCTGAGCTGCTGTGTTTGCTTCTGTCTTCCCTGCTTCCCTTCCCATCCAAAGATGGGTGCTGACCTRAATTAGGGCTGCAGGCAAATTTTCCTATGTAGGGAATAAAAGTCCCACTGGTTTGGAGTGGAAACTAGTGAAATGCCACGTGATAGAGATGTGCAGAGCAATTCCTGGCTTAGAGATAAGTCTGTTCCTCTGCTCACCCCCTCACAAGATGTTCAAAGAAATGGAAAGACAACTCATTTCACACTGATAAACTGACACACTTCTCACAGAGCCAGCAAACTGGTTTGTGCAGGTGGACAAGATGCCCTGTTGGCCAGCAGTTTCAGAGGGCTCACAAAGGATCAGGTATTGATATGAAAAACAAGGATACCCAAACCAGAAATATAAAGTTTTGCTTAAATAAGATAAAAGATGGCATGATTCTTGGACATCTACTTTGGGATTCAGGCAAAGAATGGTGGCAAGGAGCTTCTAACTTTTTTCTGTCCTTTATTTGAAACCAATTTTGGCACTATTAGTGATACCAGGAGAACCAGTTTTCAAGTTAGGGCCTTACACCATCACTGCTGGCATGTCTTAGGGTGYAGCACTTCTCCCGCATCTCATCTCCAGAGCACCATGGGATGAGGTGCTGTGGGAGGCTACAGATCACAGATCAGTGTCTGGGCGCTGGTGTTGGCAGCCACAACCAAAGCTGTAGGAAAAGTAGCCATGTCCCAGGAGGCTGGCTGCAGAGCACTTCTCTCTTGCCAGAGTACCGAAATGCAAGGTGGAAAGCACAGGATTGATGCTCATCTGAAACTGCTTCCTCTCCCTCCCTCCATCTGCTGTTCCGAGYCCCCTGGGGAAGCCTGTGGGACTTTACAAGCCCTCTGAAATAGCCAGCACTAAGTAGCTCCTCCCTTGGGGTTTGGGCATTGGACCATCAGCCTCTCTCCTTGTGTTTCTCTCAAAAAGGCATCGAAGAGCCCTGGCTCAGGACTCTGGGGGATGGACCATGCTTGGGTCAGGGGCTCAGCACTGCCACTGCCTATCCTTGCAGCCTGCTCTGGGACTCTGGGTTGTCTTGCAGAGAGCTGGCTGCAGGTGAGAGCTGTGTGTGCCAGGATGCGACAGCACATGCCAGTGCAGTGTCCGGGTGATGGGGCTTACACCCATTTGTGTGTTTGGATAACTTTGCCAGTGTGGTTCTGCCGTTCAGTGCTACATGCACAGGCACAACCTGTGTACCTTCTGCACTGCTCCCCTGTCCTCTCCTTCACAGCTGCTCTGCCCCATGCTGCCTGTCCCCCACACTGCCTCCAGTGTGCTGGGCTCCAGCACTGCTTGTACAACCACCACACATGCCTGGGCACAAGCTCACTGCATGTGAGCCCATCAGCACAGCCGCTTGTGCTGAACACCTCCTCCAACCGTGCTGCATGAGCTGAAGGATTTGGAAAGCTCTTGTTCCCACCAGATGGATTGGAGAGAAGGGAAAAGCAGCATATACACCCCCGTATTCCAAAAGTGAAGCAGATCCCATTGGGGTGGAAGTACAGTACTAGCATGAGTATTTTTCACAGCCATCTCCTCCTGAGGTGGGTGTCTCAGAGTCTATCTGCAAGAACATGTCCTGAATAAGCTGTACTCAGTCCTTGGAAATCTTGAACAGATTTTTGTTGGTGTAGGGTGGTGTTGAAGAGCATTTTCKTCTGAATGGAGTCATGAAGCAGCAACGTAATACACTCAAGAGTTGTGTTAATTTAAAAGACAAGTAATGCATTCACCACCCACCCCCATGCCATGGATCATGGCTTCAACCAATGCCCAGCACACATGAAATCTTTCATCAGGCAGTCGTCATTCCCCAAGAGCACAATTTTTGCTGTTGGGTCGTTGCAGCACTAGCAGAGGTTGAGTCCTGCTGCCCCTGTRTCAGGGCTGAACACTCACATGTGCCTCTCCTGCTCTTGTATAGCCTGGAAATGCACACACTGGAAAGCCCGAAGGAAGCTGGGGCTGTGGCCCCTTGCCATCGCCAGTAAGTCTACCCCTGGGTGGATCAGCCCTTCTGGTTAAACGGGTCACTGCCCTTCCTCTTTGGGCCTTCCCCGTCATCACTGAACGAGACTGCTGCGGAGATGAGTCAAACCGTCAGACAACATCTGTGCCCTCCACACACCCCGTCCATGCGCTTGGATAGTTCAATTGGTGGGCTCAGCCCAGGCAGCGGAAGCAAAGAAACCCTATGTGACTGGGGGGCATCTGGTAGCTGAAGCTTTTCCGTGTCCCAAGTGCGGCTGGGTGATCTGGTTCATTTCTGACCGATCCCAGAAAATAGACAAGGCCTGTGAAGACAACAGTGACAGAAAGCTTGGCAGTACTCTGCTGACCTGGAGACTCTTCTAAGTGTACRTCTGAGTACTTGCACATGAGCTGCTAAATCCCTGCCAGGAACAGATTAGAGGTTGCTCAGTTAACTGCACAACCAGTCGATCTGTGCAGGCCAGGAGAAGGAGAATGTGGTTCATCCCTTCAAAATGGCCTGGGGTGAACTCTAATAATCTGTGTCTTGAGTCTGAAACTGCCATATGTGCAGGTCTGACCCTGCCAACCTCCTGTCACCCCTTCAGGGGGGAGCTCTGGCCAGGCTTGCTCTTTCTCTCCTGTGGGGTCAGATGGACCCCAGTGATCTGAAGCTTGGCATCCTTATCTGGAAAGCTAGTGCATTTGGTGTTTTCTTTCTACAGTTTCCTTCTTCTAAAATATGGAACCAAAGAATCCATTACTAATGACATTCAGAAAAACCCACATAAAAACAGCAAAGCCATGTACTGAAGAGCCAGAGATGGGTTTGCCTGGGCAGCCTGGCTTCAGCTGTCTTGCGCATGTGATCACTCCCTGCTTTTTGCCCTGGATTGCCACCTCTTCAGCACCCAGACTGGACCTTGGCTGGAGGGAGCAATAAGCTGAACAGCTAGGCTGTCTCCTTTCTTAGTGGGGCTGGGAAACTCGTAACAATTTGGTGAAGCAAGAGACTGTGGAAAGAAGGGAGGTTCTCCTGGGTAGACAGSTGATGCCTCCCTGCAGAGCTGGGTCTGTGTCTACCCGTGCCTCAAAGTTACTCTGTGAGTCGGTGAGCAAGAGCTTTCACAGGAGCAGCCGCATCTTCCTCATTTCCCAGAGCTGCTTTAGAGAAGTGCTAAAGGTTTATACATGCAGTCACAGACATCAGGATTTGGGATTTGACTAAATTAAGTGCTATATAGAGCCAAAACCACAAAAAAATTTAGATGCTAGTTGTATCCAAAATTTGTACACAAAATGAATAAGTACTTACAACCTAAATCTCTTTTTGTCTCTTATTTTGCACCTGTTAAATAGGTATAAGTCCATCCCSTCATCTCCCACTCCTGACCTAAAAAGTTGGCTGAGAAAACATCTTCTTTTTGATAACCCTGAAGCACTCACTTACTACTGAAATAATGAGCATTAGAAAGAATCTATGAAGAAATGGAAAAGCGGGATGTTGGAGCAGGCTGACTGCAGGACAAGATGAAGGTAACACAGCCATCCCAGGGGAGAAACCCTAGTGCATCATGCACAGCATGAGAGGATAAATGAAGTGTGCTTTAGGGATTTAATTATGGGATTCCCATAATTTTGAGTGCTTGACTTACAGCCCTTGTCTTTTATCAGATRTTCAGAGTGTAAAGTACCTATTTCCTGTCAATTGGCTGGTTGCACTCAGTAAGGACTGAAGGTGTTGCTGTAATGAGTGGTTGCTCTGTGCTAGGTGGGATGAATTTGGTGGGACTGTGCTTCAGCTCTCCTGGCACAATCTCATTCTCACTCAGCTCAGTTAAGATGCAATTGCCCCAGTGACAGAGCCTGGGGAAGCTGCCCACATCACAGACAGGACAACATGTGCTGGCAGAGCAGGACATTGCAGAAGCATCTGGTGGAGAGCAGGGACTTTGTTCAACACAGCCATTTGCTTAACATCTCTTATCAGTGCTGATTTCTACGCAAAAGTCTTCAAACTCATGTGGAGAATGATAAGCAAGTTGTTGCAATTGTCTGAATATTGTAAGAAATTATTTGCATAAAATGCTACATGTGAAGCAGAAACAACCTTGGTGGTTAACAGGAGGCTGAATTTGGTAGCTGTTCTAGGCTGGATTTTTAAATAACACTATGCACTGAATGGCTGTGCAGACAAGATGAGTGAAATGGATGGGGTGAGATGCTGTTTTGAATGTTGCTGCCATAGTCTACAGCAGGAAAGAGCTCTGGAGCTATAGGTTTACAAGGAAACTCCAGCACCCATCGGTGCTGACGAAGATGATTGCACAGGTGGGACAGAGCAAACTGTCTTTGTCTTCTTCAAGTCTTCTTCAAAGACTTTGAAGAAAAGGTGCTGGCTGAGAAATGTCCCATAGCTCTTTGTTTTCTGAGGAACCCATAGTAGTAGTTTATTAAAAAAAAAATATCCTTATTTAAACCCTGGAAACATAAYATAATACATCCCACAGAGGCAGGATTCAACCTGGACTTCTTCTGAGAGAGGTTTCTTTCCAAGCATTTCATATAAGAGAGGCTTGAATAACTTTCCTGAACTGCCCATCCCAAGGTCTTCCTAACCTCATCTTGCTTCGAATGTCAGACCTTTACCTTTCCTGCTGCAGTTGGAGCCTGTTGCTGCTTACCCTGCTCTGGCTGCACAGAAACCAGCTGACCACCCTTTCCATTACAACATATGAAAGACTGTTGCTTCTTCACCACCCACTTCCCACCCCCAAGAGTTCTCTTGTCTGGGCTAAATGGGCCCAACTCCTTTCTCTTAATGCAATATTTCTATGTGTTCATCCTTTGGATTTTTTTCTTCCGGACTTCCCAGGCCTGGGGACAGGTCCTGACCCTGCACAGGCAGCACAGGGCAGTCATCTCCTCTGCCTTGCTCCAGAACCCCAGGTCAATACCTGGCCCCTTTGCTGCTGGCAAAGCTTCAGTTTTCAATGCTCTGCAACCCCCAGATTTTTCCCTGCTATACTGCCGCCTCAGTCGGTTATTCCCCAGTTCTTCTACCTACATCTCACTTTGCTTTACATTTGCATTTGTTCTTGCTGAAAACTGCATCTTGCTGCTTTCAAAACATTTACCAGGTTGGCCCTGTCCTTCCCCTAAAAACCTCTGCAAATATCCTTTCTCCACCAAGCTGCTGGTATGGCAGTAGCCTAGCACTGGTGAGTTTTTCCAGTGCCACTGACAGTGATTTCACAGCTCCTGTGATCAAGGTCAAAGGAAAGTAAATGATCCCAGAGAGAAAGTCAGGGGACGCTATTCACAGTCATTTAAAATGACTGTAAATTTAGTCACCTAAGTCAAGGACAGAGATTAGGAGACTGGCTCCTGAGGCTCCCCCTCAGAGCAGAGGAGGGCCTGGGCAGGGGCAGCAGGAAATCAGCCTGCCGTGTTGTGCCTGCAGCAGGTGCCCAGGGCAGCTCCCACAGAGCTGTGAGCAAGTGCTGGTGGAGCCATACTGGTGGTTTCTGCTGCTCTGGGTTGGGGACCACATCTCTGACCAGAGAAATGGCATGGGGCACTCAGTGTCTGTGAGGAGATGACATGGCTCCAGCCCAGCCCAGAGAAGTATTGTGAAGCTTCTGCCCATCTTCCTAACGGGAAACACTTGTYTCACAGCATGCTTTTTCACTCACAAGAGGCAGGAATTCATTAACATCATGGCCAGCTCAAGGGCAAAGACCGTGTTTGGACAAGGCAGGAAAAGGGATGCTCTCTTAGTCCTGCTCAGAAAGACCAAGCATCCACAACCTCTCCGGTGCTGTTCTCTCCTCCAGTGTCTCCATCAGCTGTTAACAAAAGCCTAGCTCTGGGCAAACCAAGGTGCACTCAAAATTTTTCTCCTGTGGATCAAAGAGCAGCCTTTGCCACGGCCACATTCTGGACAGTTTTGCACTGACTGTCCAGCTCCTGCCAAGACACTCAGCTTCCCTCACCATCTCCTGCCAACAGCCTCACCGCCTTCCCAACTGCGTCCCTGCGGATGCTGACCTTGCCTAGGTACAAAAGGAAGGAATTCAACTTATTTTTCTAATAATGGAACAAGGATATTTTTCTCTGAGGAAGGAGYTCCCTCCAACCAGCAGCCTGCAGAATAGAACAGGCCAGGGAGTCTCTGAGACCTGCTCAGCAGCAGGAGTGTGGTTTCCTCAGGAGAGTGGGAATCCAGCRGTGTACTTCCTGGAAAGGAAGTGCCGCACAGGGCTGCGGAGTTCAGAGGAAGTGTAGCGATGCAGTGAGCTAACGGATCTTTCAAGGGCTGTGCTGCTAGCTGGTGCCTTGGGAGGCCTGAACTCAACACCTCTCATCTCACCAATGCCTTCAGCTACTCCATTTCCAGAGCCAGCTGCCCCAGAAGAGCCCTTACGTGCTACAGGGGGGCTGTACTTCCAGGAAATTGAGTCCACCAGGGTGGCTGGTGCCAAGCAAGCAAACCCTTGCAGCCATGTTAAAAAGTGTGGTGGATCCTAGCATTTCCATATGGCACACCAGGAAAAACAAAATACACTCAATGCTGTGAAATGTTCAGATAAAAGGCTAAAGGTAGAACACCTGTGCCACAGGATGTTTCTAAAGAGGGAAATGGAGCATTTTTGCTGCTGGAGCTAAGTTAGGCGATTTCCCTAAGCCACCCAGCCTGCAGCCAGCCCCACACAGTTCTTGGTTTGTGGCTCCTGTGTTGGCTCCATGAGTGGGAAGGATGGGAAGAAATGCCAGCAATGCCCATGCAAGTCTGCACTGTGTTCCAAGCACGTACTTCTCTGCAAGTGTGTTTTATGTGCTGCAACCCAAAAGCTGCCAATGCTCATGCCCTAATGACYACTGCATCTCAAGTACCCTTGCCTATGCCCTACTGCTGAAACTTGCTAGCTGTTCCTGCTTGAGGCAGGAGAAGCTCAACCAAAACACTAATAAGCAACAAAGCCCAGTAAGTTTGGAACTGGGAATTTCTGCCTTCCACAGGAGTGGGTTACTGTGGGTGGGTTCATACCTGTTTCTAGATYTGCTCCTTATTGTACATGTAAGAACTTAGCAGCTCCAAAGTCTGTGGATGGAGAGCCTGTTGGCATGCAGCTCTGGCTCATCCTGCTGKATCTGGCAACAGGAGTAAATCAGAAAGCAAATGGTCCCTGCTTCGGCACTTCCTGCTCCTGCATTGTCACCTCTAGAGCCACTAGCATGGGGTATTCTGAGGGCCCCCCTGAAGCACTGCTGTCCCAGGGGCTGATTGCACATCTGTAATTTTCTGAGGCTCATACTAAGGATAAAAGTAGTCCCAGAGAGCACAGACCAGGGGACAAAGAAGGGGATCCAAAGCAGCTCTCCTTGCTGTCATCTGCATGGGCTGATCCATAGATTTTTATGTTTTTAGCACTTTGTCTGCCAGGAATTATATTCCCATTATGGGCCAGTGGTGAAATACTARTGAATGTTTTAAAGTGCTCAGCAGCTTTGCTTTATAGAAAATACTAGTCCCAACCCAGTTTGAACATTCTATGATCCTGAGCCTTTCTTCTTAAATAGGATTGGTGCTTCTTCTTGCCCATGTGAACTGTCTGCACAAACAGTGTTTATGTGGCACCTGCCGAGGGCACCCGTCCCCTCCCAGGACCCGCGTCAGTGGTGTYGGGGGCGGCAGGACAGGGTGGGTGGGTTGTGGGGAGCTGGGAATTTCCTCAGTTGCATTGGGGTGACCGAGGCTACCTGGGGTTGGACTGACCTCCTGCCTGCAAGGGCTGGCATGGCAAACAGTGCCTCTGGAATTTCTGGGGCTCCAGTGGCACCTCCTCCGCATTGGCCTCCTTTGAAGGTCCAAGTTTCACAGCCAGAGCTGGGGCTTTTCTTCCTTTCCATCTCTGCTGTTTGTCTCAGAGAAAACCCGTCGCGCTGTTTTTCAACTGCCTGAAGGTATTTTTCGGGGGTTTTTCAGGCTATTTTGAAGCTCATTTTTCCCAGATGTGCTTTTTTTCTTCTTCCTTTTTTATTGGTTTTTAAAATTTTTTTTCTGCTGTAACTTTTCTTCTTTGCCTTAAAGTTTCCGGCCACGTGACTTTCAGCTTACATCCCCAAGGTTCTGAGAAACCACAGGAGGCTGATACCTAAAGGGAAGGTGCACAGGCTCTGAGAGGAGAGGCAGCGAAAGTGTCGGAGTGCTGGGCAGGAGGACAGAGTGCTTCTGGGACAAGTGAGAGCAGAGAGCCAAAAGCCATATYAGAGGTGACAGAGGAGGACAGAAGACAGGCAGAGAACCAAGACTGAAGGCAGGCACACCAAGACCACAAGGAAGCTGAAGAGACCCTGGGAGCCAGAGGCAGGAGCCATGCCCCACAGCTCCGACAGCAGTGATTCCAGCAGCTTCAGCCAGTCTCCCCCTCCCAGCAAGCAGGTAAAGCAGGGCTCTTCCCCAGCCCTCCCCAGCTGGAGAGTCTTTTGGGATGGCCCGTGGGTGGGCAAGAGGTAGGGTGGCACTCACTGTTGGTGTTTTCACAGCACAATATGGCAGAGCTTTCTAAGAATGCCTATGGGGAGAAAGATGCAGGACTCAGCCAAGGGTCCTGGCAGAAGCTCCAGCCATTGAGCTGGATATGGGCAGAGGGAGATGACCTGGTTACCTGGGGCTATGCCAGGGGCAACTGGGGGCCCAGGATCCCCAGGCATGGTGGATCCTGCGATACACGCCAGGCAGGCAGGGAGCTTCAGTGTGAGTTGGTGTTCTGGAGAGGAGCCTGAGCAGGCACCTCCTGGCTGTGGACCAGGATGGCTCAGGAGCAGCCTGCCAGCTTCCAGCTTCTGTGGACAGCACTCAGGACCCAGAAAAGCCCTGCCACTTTGGAACTGCTTTCCTTGCTGTTCAGCCTCAGAGGTTTTTCATGTAAGTAATGCTTCACAAAGGGATTTGCGTACCTTAATGGTGGGTCTTTTGTTAGCAGAGACAGACACACAAGTTTGAAGTATTCTCACCGCTTTTCTATCTAAGCTTTATTTTAGCTGTCATTTGCCATTTCTCTAGGGCTGGCTACAAGACCAAGTGCCTGAGACTTTGCTCAGAAATCATAGGGATCATTGGGGCAGATGATTTTTGGCTTGCAGCCAAGGATGGGGATTGCATCCTGGCTTGGATCCTGGTAAAGAAAGGAATAAAACACAAGGTTTTCCAAAGGATAGGGACTGTACTTGATGCAGGATATGGGACCTGATATATCTGAGACATTTTCAGGGTATTGAAGGCAAGGATAAAATGATTAAGTTCGAAGAAAAAGGTATCTCGGGCTGGGGGAAGAGGGAGAGGATGTGGACAGATAGATGAGCTGGGAAGATAACTTTTGTGGCTGAGTTTTGTAGTCTTGTGGAGAAGTGGTGGTGTGAATGTTAGAGAGTCCACAGGAGGGACAGTTAAATATGAAAGTAGAAGGTGAAAGAGTCTGTGTGACCGTTTCAACTGTCAGAAGGCAGGAGCAGGACCAGGTCTCAGCAGAAAATGGCTGGTGTGTGAAGCTCATGACCTTGAAGCCTGGAGACCTGTTCTCCTCTGCCTAAGGGGTTTGTGAGTGTTGCAGTCAGCATTGCAGGGATTGCTACCAAGGCATGCCAGAAAAGAGCAAGGACAGAGATCAAAGAGCTGGAGCAAGTAAGACCCRTGTTAAAAACAAAAGCTCTGAGTCTGTCTAGTTCAATAAAGTAGGGACCAAACAAAGTTGTGAGGGTCTGCAACAAATAAAGCCTGAGGCAGAAGGGTGATGGAGAGGGGAGSGACTTGCAAAGGTGAAAAAAGGAAAACACAGGCTGAATATCTGAAAAAAGTGGTGTATCCAAGTGGTATATATACCACTACCCTGCAGAGAGACAGGAAAGGAAAAGGTTTTCTCTGTGAGAATTCAAATTGTCTTTCTTCCAGAGGGAGGTCTGTACTCTGGTCCATCAAGCTGTATCCCAGGCCTGTGTGTTGGTGAAGGGAGAGTGGTCATTTCCCAGCTGTGCTGGGATCTCCAAGGATATCAGATGTGCCCCTCCTGGCAACAGGGATACCAAAATTATCAYAGCCATGGGCTATGGTTTTATGCTTGTGTGGAGGGTGTGTATCCTGTGTCCTGCGCTTCAACAATGTTATCTGCTGTGTCCCTTTCCCATCTACTGCCCTGCAGGAGAAGGGTGAGGAAGGACATTACTCAGTCATTTCCATATCTTGTTTTCCTAGGACTCTTCTGATGACATGAGGAAAGTCCAAAGGAGGGAAAAGAATCGCATCGCTGCCCAAAAGAGCCGCCTGAGGCAGACCCAGAAAGCAGACACACTGCACTTGGTGAGCACTCCCACCTTTTCTCATGCCCTGTGCTGTCATAGAAGACAATGTGCTTTTCCCCTGGGGCTTGGAGCAGAGATGCTCAGTGGAGGCAGAACAGGAGAAGTGAGGCCAGGGCAGGATGTAGGAGTCAGCGCTTGCAGCGAGGGCTCACAGCCCAGGACAACTGCCACCAAAGCATTAAGTTTTACAACTAGTTTTGAATACATCTTTATCTCTGTTTTTCATTACTGATTTCCTTTCCCTGCCTCTTCTGACCAAGTTCTTTGAAAGCACAATCTTACCTGGGCTGGCTCCCGCCAGGTTTGTGATTCATGTCATCACTTATGCAAAGGTGCAACAGCATACAAAAATGCTTTTCTGTGGCAGTGCAGGCACCTTCTCAGCTCTTCTTGGCGTGGAGAATTAAATGCTTTTCAGGAGGGATGGTCACTTCTGGCTTGTGTGTGTTTGGGCAGGAGTACATAGTCAGTGTTGGAGCACAGGGGCTGTGACGCTTTGCATTTTGCACATTGATACATGCAGTCCCAAGTATTTTGGGCCACTAGTGGGAAGAATGAAGAACACACAGCCTGTAGTGGGTAGAAACCATCTTTATCCCTGTGCTGGGCTTAGCTGTTCTTTGAAAAGTGGCAGCTGAGGTGATATTCAAAAAAACATCCGTTAACTTAGCAGTGTTCATACTCCCCCATATCACCATTTTTGGAAAAAATTCTTGAGAATTCAGTCCTGAACCTTCCTCCTTACACAGTGACCTTAGTCCATGGTTGAAACTAGGTTTAAGATAGAAATTTCACTCTTTTCTCAGTAACAGATGAACTTTCTGGAGCTGTTATGGCTCTAGGCTGATTGCATTACATCTGCCAGCAGCAATGGCTCTGGGCAACTGTGTCTGAGGTGGTGAAAACACCCTTTCCTTGGGATCTGTGCTCCCTCCACAGTAATCCTAGAGGTAGTTATGGATTCTGATCTTCCCCCAGGAAAATCTTGCCCTAGCTGTGCACTGAGCAGAATTGGGCTGCTCTTCTTAGAGCAGATAACAAACGGTTTGCTAATGAGGTAACTACTGCCCAGCTAGCATTGAGAGTACACAGTCCTTGCCTTCCCATTGGGATGGGGCAGCAGGGCTAAGTCTAGTTTCTATCTAGACAGGCAGATGAAAAAATGCAGGGAGGCAMGTAGATGATGGATGGTAAATTTCTGCTAGGTTTTTTTGCAACTTCACTGGACAGTGACACCCCCCCCCTTGCTGCTCCTGGGTTCATTCCCTGAATGCTCTCTGCCTTTGGTCGATTCTGCATCAGGGACTTTGTTTCTCTGATATGGTTCTGCCCAGAAAARCATGGCTCAGTTTGAGCTATGGTGGTATGAAAGGAGCCAACAGCTCCACCTGCCCCGGGGCTTTCTAGCTTGTATTTTGAGGGGAATGAGTCATGGGAAAGCTGGGACTCCTGGCCCCTGGGTGATTCCCATCAGTTCCTGAGTTCAACAACGGTCATGATTTCCAAAGCAGTTGGTCACGCCTGAGAGATGCTGTTTGCTGTGTGAGCTCCTGCTGTGACAGCAGCTGTAAGTTCTGGGTGCATTTCAACCTGTGCTCAGARTGGGCACCATCAGGAGTCAGCGTGGCAGCGGAGGGGCGAGCAGAAGGTTCACGTTGCCAAGGTAGTGGTGCAGCTTTCCAGAGCCTCCAAGTGCCGGGTGCTGCTTTAGCTTTCTCGGCTGAGTTTCCAATCCTCTGGTTCTGCCCATGCTGCTGGCTCCATGATCAGTTAATGCCTGCAATGCTTTGGCCTGGAGCTGACTGCAGCTCAGCAGAAGCAGAGGTAGCAAAGGCTTTGATGCTCTCAGTATTGTTGAGACAAGGCTGTGCATCATTATTAACCCCTTTGTTGTTATTCTCATTAATACCAGTATTAATTCAGTTCTTCTGAGGCCTCAGTTTCTCTTTTCTTCTGACTCAAGCGTCTCCCCTTGCTCCCCGTCGTGCTGCTGCTTTGCCTGGCTGCTAGCAGGAAGCAGTGAGTCTCTTCTTTCCAGGGCAATGACAGGTTTCCTGTGGCAGGTGGTTTTCTGGTTAAAGACGGCGGTTATTCAACGTGCTCTCCCCCGGGGGCTGGGCTGCCCGGGAAGCGCCCGGAGATGTGCGTGTGCATGAGAGGGAGTGAGAAAGCCTGGGCGGGAGCAAGCCACAGTCAATTCTCGTAAGCCGGGGACGACGAGCGTGGCTGGGGCTGCTGGCATCKCAGCGGTACCCGGCCTGGCCAGCTGGGGGAGGAGGGTTTGCCCAGGCGTGGCTCTGTGATGAATTTACCAGAAGTATGTCATTCTGGAAATTCTGTGGGGCAGAGAGGTGCAGGACCGCAACCCTCATCCACGCTGAGGAAGCCCCTGTGGTTTTGTCTCCTCAGGAGAGTGAAGACTTGGAGAGACAGAATGCTGCCCTGCGCCGCGAGATCAAGCAGCTGACAGAGGAGATGAAACACTTCACCTCCATGCTGAGCTCCCACGAACCACTCTGCTCCATCCTGACATCCCCTCCACCACCTCCAGAAGTGCTTTATGCCACACACTCTTTTCACCAGCCCCACATTAGCTCCCCACGCTTCCAGCACTGAGMCAGCCAGTAGGACAGCAGCCTGCCAGCTCACCTGAGGGCAAGAAGTAACTTAGTGGAGCTGGCTTTTCCATCCAAGGGAAGGAATCGGACAGATGGACATTCCTTCTTAAAGTATGTACTCTGAGTGATTTGCCTGAGACTTGCTCCCTGTGCAGAAATGGCAGAGCCACCATGAAGCATCTTTGGACAGTTTCCAGCTTRGGTTCTGGGAAGAAGAGGCAGTCACAAAAGGGCACCAACTCCCTTCTCCGGTCCTTGTCAGGGGACACTCACAGAAGTGTGCAGCACATAAGAATGGCTGGCTGTGGCATGCAACAGCAGAGCTCCAGGAAGAGGAAAGGGAGCAGAGAGGGAGGGGAAGCTTGGGGGCCACAGAGTATCAGGGCAAAACTGGTTTATTTTTGTAAAATAAAGATTGAAAATGTTTACCTCTTTGTTTCCAAAATGGGATTTGGGTTACTCCTAAGGCCTGGCACGATGCAGTAAAGACACAGGCAACAACAGGAAGGGACAGCTTGGAGCCCAGGAAACAGCCCTGCATGTGCAGGAGTCTAATCCAGGGCCAGCAACCAGAGCCCAACATTTAGAAGGGGGTCCCATGCATGTAGGCTGGGCAGGCTGAAGAACAATGGTTTATGGGGTGTTGGGGTCCCTGGGGAGGATGGGTCCCTCCTTGCTGCAGGGCTGGACCTGGCTAATGAGTCTGACATGCCATGTAGCATCACAGGTCTCTTCCCTGCTGACCCTCTCAGCTCCCTGCTACTGGTGGCTATGGCTCCACATGCTCCCCTTGCATGTATGGAGGTGCACTGCCATGTTGTGTCAGCTCACATACAGGTGTTGGTGGGCTGGTGGAGCCTTCAGCTTGGCCAGCAGTGCAGCTGGGAAGGAGCACCATGGTGTGGAGGGAACTGGTCATGTTGTGCTGGAGTGCACAGAAGAAGCAGGACCTAGCAGGACTCTCACTCCAAGGCACCCTGCTAAGGCATGTAGCTGCAGCCTACATTCTTTCCCCTTGCCCATCAGTCACAGCTCCACAAAAAGCTGCTGCACTACCTCGTGCATTGAAACAGATGAAACCTGAAAGGTCAGAGAGGAGCAGATTAGTACCTCTGAGTCTGATTTATTGGAAACATAAGTTGGTCCATGCAGGCAGTCTCTGCACCAGCCAGCAGTCCTCTTAGCAGCCCCACTCTGTACACAAGGCTGAAGCYCACCTATAGTGCAGGTTCTGTTGATAGCAGTGGCTCAGGACTGCTGCCATCTTCAAGCTGCAATCTTTTCAGCGTGGAGTACCACAAGCAGCGCTACTGATGTAGCCTTTTAAATAAGGGAAATAGACCAAATTTGTAGAGATCCTTCTTTCAGGCACAGAGAAGCAGCCTTTTTCCGGATGGGTTTGGACCCATCATCATAGCCCCCAACAGCAGTTTGGTAGTCTGTAATGTGCTGTGCTGTGCCTGTTTTCTCTCTCTGGTTTGTGCTAGGAAGATGATAACCAAACACTGCTGTGCCTTGCAAGCTGTCCTCAGTATATGTGCATGTAGCACTGTGATTTCTCCTGCCATGGCCTGTTCAGAGGTTTGCGAGCCTCCTGCCTCCAATTTCTGTGCAACCATGGGAAGCACTGTGGTCRGAGATGCCTGGTGTCAGAACATTGACCTATGTATCACCACCCTACAAAAGCAGTGCTGAGGCAATGGGTGACTGTGCTGGCCTTCCCTGTCTGTGTAGCTCTGCCCCCTGTCCCGAGGGGCATGTGCACATTTAGGGAAGCACATAGGAAAGGATGGGGTTATTCCAGCCAGGGAGCTGGGTTTCTGCATCTGCGATATGCAGAATAAATCTCCAGGAACAATTTCAATGTGTCTTACACCACCCCTTTGTTAGATCTCACACCAACAGGCTTCACTCTAACCATTGGTTCAACAAACAGAGCCACTATTTCCTTGCACAGACCATGCTTTGAGCCAGCCAGGCTCCATAGGCCCTTCCCAAGGTGCTTTTCTCTGGAATTTGTCCCCTTTAAGCCCGAGAGAGACAGCTGMCTCCAGCTATAGATGAGCTTCTCTTTACAGGCACCGCTTCTGCTCCTTGAGCTTCTGGTGGATTTTCTCCCAGATTTTTCACTTTCACTGTTCCTTAAGGTTTGGATATTCCCATGCTTCCTGATTTACAGTTAGAGAAAAAAGCTACTGCTAYCTTGCTTGGGGTTTGCTGTGGCGGGCACTGCAGGATCATGCTCTTCACTGGAGGATGCACCAGAGTCCCACCAAAGCTCGCAGTGTTGCCTACAGGGACAGATCTCCATCCTTGCAGCAACCTTTGTGTTTTCTCATGGCTATAAAGTGCTAATCTTGGTTTTAGCTGCAGATGGAGAAGGTCCTACCCTGATGAATATGTCACCTATGCCCACATAGACATGAAGCCAATATTTTTGTTGCAAGCTGTCAAACTCTAGATCCTTCAGGCTGGGTGGGGTGCTGTGTAATGCCCACAGAATTGCTAGACCCACTCACTGGTAACGTCTCCGACTTATTACTGCAACTCAGAACGAAAATAAGTGGTAAGTGGTGAGACTGGGAGATGAGTTTGCAACAACATCCTCTCCAAAACCTAAACAATATTCTTGGCATCATCAGTTAATGTGTCCTCCCTCTGCAAGGCTGTCTGTGAGCTGGAAGGCCTCGTGGCAGTGTTGTGATGAGCCATTCTGGCCGTTCTGGTGTTTGCTGGCACTAAGAGACACATCTTTCAATCTGACTTGTCCTTGYCTTGGTCTTGCGCTCTAAAACCTGATCACAGAACTTGAACTGCATGGTTCAAGCCGGTTTTGACCTCTGCTTGCTTGGAGGTGTCTCAGAGGCAGTCTCTGTTATGAAGAATGGTTCTCCTCGGAGAATATCCTTATCACCCAGGCAGCAAGGGACMACATATCCTTTCAGCCCTTTCAAACAGTGGTTGGAGAAAAGATCTTTTCTTGAGGCTATTTGCAGAGCTGCACAAACTGCTTGTTCCAGCTGCGTGAGGAGATTCCTTCACTTCTGTACTGGTGTTGTCTCTTGCTTCTCTTTCCTGGGCTTCGGGTCTCTTCTCAAGACTCCTCACACAACTGCCTTTGACTTCTAAATAGCCAGGTGCCTGTCCTCTGGCGTGGCCCTCACTGCTGTCTGCAAATGAACTGCAAATGAGCCTAAATGAGGAGCAAGGTGCAGGGAGGTGGCCAGAGCAATCATCTCCCATATCTTTTGATTGTCTTCTCCTGTCAGCAGTGCAATTCCTGTCATTTTCATTTCCGTGGCATCTGGCATTTTCTTAAGTGTGTGTGTTATCTGGTCACGCCCAGCCTTCAGGAGCACTGTGGTGCTGGCTGCTCCARGGGAAGGGGACGCTTCTGGGCCCACAACTGGATAAACCAGGCGAAGCTGAGTCTGTGGAAGCCTGTTCCTGCCCCAGTAGGATGTCAGAACCTTCTGCTACGTTACATAGCTCCTCATTGAAAACTCTCTCAAAACAGTGCATAAATTAGGGCTCACAGGAGGCTGAGATTTTTCCAGCAGGGAAGGCCAGAGAGAGAGACAGCTCTGCTCTGCAAGCACAGCCTGCCGAACACTGCGTGTGTGCTGGCCTCTGCTGGGCAAAGGCTGAGCTCTCCCAGCCGGCACCTGCACTCCTCTTGGCAGAGCCACTTTGGCRAAGGATAGATTAAGCAGCTCTGTTGCCCATTTTGCTGTGGCTCCAAAGTATTTATGCACTTGTTTTACAAATCCCATCTCAGAATTCACTTCTGTTAGTGCTGCCAGCTTGCATCAGCAAGAGSATAACCTCCTGCATACTGAACCGAAGAAGCAGCCCACAAAAGAGCCTCTCTCTATGCTTCTTGCAATGATCACAGTGTACAAAACAGCACTTGTCATACATAAATGCTGCCTGGATGCTAATACTTCAGCACACAGAGATCAAAGAAGATCAGGAATCACTGCTAAGAGATGAAGTCAAGAAGAGAGAACCCAAAACGTGGCATGAAATGGTGAGACTTTCTCTTAGCAAACAGCACTGTGCTCACTTTCTCTGTGTTCTGCTATGTTTCTGGCACCTTATTGACTAGCGATCTTGAGGAGATTTGAGCAGTGAGGTAGCCATATATGTATACATAAAGTTTTTTTAGGTTATTCAARAACCTTACCCATCTAAATGTTAGGGAGTGGATATTCATCACTTGCCAGGACAGGATTTCAATCAGTGTGTTAGGGTTAGAACATGAGACTRGAATTTTTATTGCAGCTGAGGTTGCAGATACCAGCTCCTGAGAGTACTGCTGCTTCAGGGATAGCCATGCAGAGACAACACACCTTCCTCCCAAATCTTGTATCAGTTCTGTGCTTTTTCCTAAGACACAATCAACTTTTCTTCCCTCACAGCAGTGGTGGTTTGGTGCCATGGTCCTCAGAACTTTTCCCAGGTTTGTCTTTTTTTGCTRCAGTGTAAGTGGAAGAAAGAAAAGGGACATGCTTGAGTTCAGCATTGAGGCTATGCACATTTCCAGCACTCTTTTATTATTAATTAATGTCAGCTGCAAGCAATAGAAGATTGAAATATTTTTCTTGTGTCATTGCCATGAACTGTTATGACTCACTGAGATGGAGGCTGGAGGATGCTGAGTAAGAAAGGTTTACATACTTCGAGCTTTGGTAATTGGGGTTAATCTGTGACCCTGATCTGGACTGGGCATGTAAATCTATGGCTGAGTTTTGAGGCTGACTGGRTCTTTTATCACTTCTTTTATCCTGAGCTGAACAAAGAGTTCTTCGTGTCTCATGTGCGTGCCTGCTGCACACCAGAGAAGTGAGGTGGGTTTACTCCCAGGACAAGGATTATGCACAGCTTTCCTATAGCCGTCTGTATCTCCATGGCTTTTCACAAGCAAGGGTTGAGAGCTGGGCTTACATACTCAAGCAGCACAGCAGGCTAACCACAGTTAAAAGTTTTTGGATTAGAGCTGGTTCTCATCCAGCCAGATCAGAGAGTGGGGTAGAACAAGTTGACATCTGTTTGCAGAAAGCCATGCAGATGTAGCATAAACACCCTGTGTCTGGCGGGGTGTGCACTAACCAGAAACTGGCACCTTTGAGGTACCTTGCATGCAAGTGCTCTTCCATCCTGTGTTCTCCTTTTTCATCTTTTTCTTGCTGCAAGGAGGCAGCTGTGAATATTAGCAACTCAGCCATGCCTCCCATCTACTCYTCACGGTTCAGACGTACATGCTTCATCCACACAAACATTACATCTGACCTGGACAGGGTTAAATTAAAGCCATTGCTCTGTTGAAGCCATGCCTTGAACAAGGAGATTGGATTTGCAAAGTGGTGGTAGTTCAAGCTGCGGTTGGGCAAGCCCTTGCAGTCCGGGCTGGAAGTTGCCGAGTGGAAAAAAAAATCCTGTCCCTGGCAGGGCCACACAAATCACAGTAACACTCTGTGCTCCTGTAAAATAGACATGGATGATGCATCCCAGAGAGTGAGAGCTATATATGCAATATGATGAAGGAGAGTAAAACATTATTTTCCTTTCTTGAGTTGTACTTTTGAAAGGCCTAAAACTTAGAACAGTATAGGTTTGGTGCTCCAACTTAGCGCCTGCACAACTTTGTTGGTTCTGAGGTCTTCAGTCTTCTCTAGATGAGATTTTAGGCTGTGCAATTAAGCCATTGTGTTTTGTGTAGAGGAAGGTAGTTTTTGCAAAATTTTGAGTGCTGCAGAGGTTTCCTGCTGCACTGTTATGAATGGAGTTGTCCATCACTGTCCTGTATCCAGCTCTTTACACTGAAAATGCAACAGGAAAGATTCTTTAGGGTTTAGGGTATCAAAATAATTGTGTGTAAAAACTACTGTAAGAAACCAGTCCTTTACCTTGTGGCTCTCGGGAYGCAGAAAGCTATAGGTGCCAGCAGAGGGCTTGCAGGGTTCCCAGTTCCATAGGGGAACACCACTGGTGTTGTCCAGCTCCGCAGCCCTGACAGACCATGCTGCACGGTGTGTCTCCAGCTGAGCACTGCATACAGGTGTGACCCAGAAAGGAGGGGTTCTGCCAGCTATTCGAGTCTTGTCATTTAGTCTTATGACACAACTKCCTGACCACTGAAGAACTCCCCTAAAGCAATTTGGGTGTTGAACCCAATAGAAAACCTTCTCCCTCCATTAATGATGATCTTTTAATCTTTCCTGCAATGTCACCTGGGAAAAGTTGTGTGGGATATATGCAGACAGTTTTTCTAGACCTAAATGCTATCAGYCAAAATGTGATACAGCCATCTAAGAGCTAAGCTAGTTAGGTTTTGTAAGTGCAATGATGAAGTTTAGAGGCACAAATAACAAGGTGGAGAGTTTGAAAGCAAGGAACGTCCTGTGATMCTTTGATGTTAGATATTTCCCATTTAGGGGGACTTTAAAGAACTGCATGGATGTTAAAACCAGTAGATCCTTGAGTATTTGCTTTTTCTTAGCAATTTTCTCCTTTTGTTCACCTACTCCTCGAATCTCTGAAGCAGTGGGGGAGAGAAGAGACACCAAGGAATTATACTTTTCAAAATCATTTTCTAGTACACCTTTTGCACATCTTCCAAGCCATTTCACCATTTTCACCATTGCACGTTTTCACCATCTGTTCATATCTCTTTGCTTGTCATTGAGCCCTGTTGCCATCTGGATTATCATTGCTGTCMCCATCCCTAGCATTTACATTCATTGGGTGGACTTTGAGAATAGCAAGCTTGTTGCAAGGTGTGTTCTTTAGTCCTTAGAGAACACGAAGGAATTGTATGTACTCATAGGTCATAAAGACAGTGTATAKTCCTGGACTGTCCCTGTTGGATTTTGGGAGATCAGTAGAGAAGAAAATTACGGAGAGGTTAGGCTCTATCTGGTCTGTACTGTTATATTTAATTTGGGTCCTGCTTCCTCCTCTGATTTAATACATTCCAATCTTCATGGATACTTTTGKCTCTAGGATCCTATAAGCTTTTTAGCACTTACGTTAATCTCCATGTCAAGGAGATTTCCCTCTAGCTTTAAAATCCACTTCAAGGGGTTGTCCTGAAATATAAATAATTTTTCATGGCTAAGAAATTTTTATATAAATATGCTGTGATGAGGGAAATCCAAAAGCAGCTGCTCTGTTGCTTCAAGAAGGGAAAGAGGCATGTGAGTAGAAACAGATGCAGCAATAGAGGAGGAAATGCAGAGCACAGGGGTTTTATTTTAGTATTTTATAATTAGAAATTGGCAAATTATATAAAGGGGTGATTGAACAGTTCACAGAATCAGTAACAAAACAGTTACTGAAATCTAAGTACAWGGATTCAAGGAAGTGTGAGCCTGCAGGTACAAAAAATACCTGTCTGACTCAGCTTTTAGAAGCCAGTGTCACTTCCCTGCCTGGCTCTTGTTCACTTGACAGGCTGCAGTCATCAGAGACTGGGCACTACTTTCATGCATCTGATTTCAGCTATTATTTACAGCAGAGTCTGTGTTTTAGTAATTCTTGACTTATCATTTGACCTTTCTGATAGAAATAAGACACTGGAGCAGATGGCAGGCTCTGACTTGCTGCGGATTTTATGTTGATGATGACTAAACCTGAGGATTTTTGAGAGAAACWTAGGAGCTAAAGGTGGGACTAAAACAAAACTCAAGATGACAGACTGTTTCTGACCCCAGTCTGGAGTAGGGCGGGAAGGAGACAAAGGACCCTACATGTTTCTCAGTCCTCTCCCATATAKCAAAGTATTTTTCTRTGTGTGTGTGTTCTTTTTTCAGTCATGTATTAAKAAATTTGACTGTGCTCAGTGTCTTTCTGACATGTGACTGTATCTCCTCTACTCCTAATTTGTTTTCTTTATACTTTTTCTGCTTGTTCCTTTTCTTCAAACCACATTTAGTCACTGATATCTTCCTCTTTGCTGCCCAGAGACTTATGACAGCAGACTGCCATACAGTGCCTAATTCCATTATCCTGCATTCATCTGAGTTTACAAATTAAAGATGCCATGGACTGTGATAATACTTTCAGTTACAGATAGCTAAAGTTACAATCCTACAGTCATTTTGACCTAAATATAGTATGTAGGTGACATRTTTAAATTAGGCTGGAGTAATTTAGTAACATCTTAACCATCTGCAAATTTGGTTCCTTGCACTGCTAAAGGGTTTATTAATAAATGATGGTCCTCTGAACAAACTCAGATTTCCATCTTAAAAATTGCCAGTGCATTTATTTTCTTGACTTTGYTTTTCAACTGCTCTTTAATCATGATAGTGATTACCTCTGTGTAATTTCAATTTCTATATAATATCATGGAGAATTTTGCAAAGATATTTTCAAATCTTATGATTCTAAAAGTTATTTTTCTGTACTATTGCACTGTTATATCCTTAGAGTTCTCAGACTGAGCAGTTGTTGAACCATGATAGTCGTTTTACTGCTCCATTTCACCTCTGCCCTCTCTGCACCGCTATCATTCATTACATTCCTGATAACATTTAGATTACAAATTTGTTACAATAAATTCCTTTGTTCTTTCTGTTGTCTCAGTGCAGAGCTTGGGGTTAACTTTGGTTGCTTAATTTAATAATAAATGGAACTGAAAACCTCTTTTCTGGCTTTTGCTTCTGAATTTGCCTTCTTACTCATTAGGTAAAAGGACTACATTATGACTGTGTTGTATCATTGAAAGAAGCATCCCAGGTGAGGCTGGGGGTTCATCGGCAGAGCTGCGAGCTGAGGAGGGAGACAGGAGGGTTTGCAGATGTGCCTCGGGGAACTTTCAGCAGAGTACATGGAGAAGACTGCACTGGCTTAGCTGGTCTCCAGCTGTGCTTCTGACAACTCTGGTGGGAGTAGGAAACCTATGCAGGTGACAAGAAACTCTGTACGGATACACAGCAAGAGCCATTGAAACTGACATTTGCTCTCCTTGGAATAATTTGTGCAAAGCKTTTTTTKGTTTTGGGGTTTGTTTGKTTGKTTGGTTTCTTGCATGATAAATAAAACCATAAAGGCATCAAAACCATTTGTCTGTCTTTGGTCCTGACAGTAGGTAGGTAACTCAGAGGACACCAGCAGTAACCTGCGACAGTGTTCCACCAAGTATGTGAAAAGGCTACATTATGATTAGCTACCAAGTATATACAAGCCAGAGAAACTGCACTTTTTCATTGGCTGTATTCCTTTGTTTCAGGAATACAACACCCTAAAGACAGTACTCCCATTTTTCAAAATGAATTTTGACCTGTGTATGAAATGCTGCAAAAGAGCTGAACACCACCAACAAACTTGTGTCCTTGTGCTGAGGAATGTTTATGCAATTCAGGTAACTTGATGCTAATTGAATGAACTGTAGCTCACAAATGATCTCCAGGCAGGCATCTGCCAGTGTTGCTAAAGTAATGGGAAAACAAGCGCGAACTCATTAACTGCGAGTTCCCCATGAGGGCGGAAACAAACATCACTTTTGGCTCTTTTGCTTCAGTGACGSTGAGATGTTTTAATTTTGACTTCACTGGATATTTTCACTCTATAGCGTGCCACGTCGTGAAGAAAAACATCAGAAGCCAACCCAAAAGAAACCCAAACCGGTTCTTCCCTCACAACTGCACCCTGGCATCTCTGGCGGGGTCGGGCACTGCCCACCCGCTCACAGCCTCGCCCAGGTCACACTTCTGCTCAGCCCACGTCCCGTTCATCGCTGGTGGCCGAAGCTTCTCCTCCCCCGGCGCTCGCAACACCCAGAGGGCCGCTCGGCGGGGCCGGGCAGTGGCGGGGGCGGCCGTGGGGAGGGGTCGCGGCTCTGCTGCGGGGCGGGCAGCGCATCTGCAGGGCCCAGGCCGACACTGCCGCCTCGCCGGGGCCGGGCGTGCCCACCCCGGGCGCCCGAGCCTTTCTCGGGCCCGCGGCGGGGCGGGGCGGCCGCCACATCCCTCCCTCAGTCCCTCCCTTCTTCCCGCGGCTCCGCCGGGACCGGGATGCGCGGCCAGGGAGAGGAGCCGCCGAGCTGCGCAGGTACCGGGGNCGGGCCGGGCCGGGAGCGGGGGTGCCGCCTCGCTCGGCGGTGCCTCTGAGCCGGTGGGGCGGCCGGGCGGGGCGTCCCGGGCAGGTGGCACCGGCGGGGAGCTGGGCCGAGCCGAATCGAGTCGAGTGCGGCCCGCGGTGCCGGCATGGTGTTACAGGAGCCCGCCGGGGCGCCGAGTTTGTCTGCGGCGGGAGGGGCCGCTGATGCCACCGCTGAGGTGCGGCTGTCCCGGCTTCGCTGGGCCGTGCTGCTGCTCTTCAGCAGCTACTCCCTGTGCAACGCCTTCCAGTGGATCCAGTACGGCAGCATCAGCAACATCTTCATGCGCTTCTACGACGTGAGCGCTTTCGCCATCGACTGGCTTTCCATGAGCTACATGCTCATCTACATCCCCCTGCTCTTCCCTGTCGCCTGGCTGCTGGACAAGAGGGGCCTGCGCCTCATCGCCGTGGCTGGCTCGGCCCTCAATGCCGTGGGTGCCTGGGTGAAGCTGGGCAGCCTGAAGCCTCACCTCTTCCCCGTCACCGTCCTGGGGCAGGTCATCTGTGCCCTGGCCCAGGTCTTCATCCTGGGCATGCCCTCACGCATCGCCTCCGTCTGGTTTGGCTCCCACGAGGTCTCCACYGCCTGCTCCATTGCGGTCTTTGGGAATCAGGTAATGTGCAGCTGCACCCCGKCTGGCCAGGCATGTGGGGTGGGCTGCCTGGCCGGAGAACTGGAGTGCAAACCAGGGAGGGGTAAGAGATGCACAGGGCCTGGAGGGCAGCAGCAGGGATCACACGAACTGACACGAAGGATGCCACTGGGTCAGCAGAGGCAAGTGGGACCTACCTCTACAAAGTTCGGTGCAACATGGGGTTCAATGTGATTCTGGCTTTGAGAGGTCTTTGGCTCAGGCTCTTCTCCAGTGCCCTTCACTTCCTGTGCATTTGAATCTCCAGTCYAGGGCTGTGATTCAGTAGAGCCATGAATGGCCTGGCAGGGGTAAAGTACAGTGCTGAGAAACTTTTAGGTAGAGTGTCCTTCAAAGCTTATATCTGCAGTTTCATCTGGACTTGACACTGCAATATCCTCTTCCTGCTGCCAACTAGATCTGACAAAGGAGGTTCACTGTCTAATGAAAACAGTACTTGTCACTCGACCCTGGGGGAAAAGGACTTTAGCACTTTCATACCTCTTAAAAGTAGGTACAGAGTTTCCACAAGCAGTTGCTTTGAAAAAAAGAAAAATTCCATCAGCAGTGTGAGGTCAGCTCCCCGAGCACTCTTCTATCGGTGCGGGTGCCAGAGGCCAGCGACTTGCACTTGCAAACTGTGACTGACTGTCTTTTCTTGCAGGCAGCTAGTGCTTGGAGGAGATAAATTTTTACACAGCTTTGAAAGGATCAGGGAAATAGCTTCTTGACCCTTGCACCTGAGCACGTGCTCATAGCAGCTGAGCGAAGCGGATAGGCCAACACTGATGCATAAGTGAAGTGAATCTGGCTCAGCAGCCCTGACACAAAGAAGAGGAAAGTAGAACCTGGCATTAGCTTCTAGGCTGGACCTGTGCCCCTTGCTTTCAGATCCAGTGTACTCCCCTACAGGTGATTCTGTGCACCATCCTGGACCATTCAGCCTGTGGATGGCTGTCGTTCAGRTTTGAATGGTTTTCAATTTGGATAGCTTCTAATGCAGGCTGCTTTTTCCTGTGTTTCTGTGTTTTATGGATACTGCTGAGGCAAAAAGAGGTAAATCCTTGGAGATGGTATTTTAGGAAGTGAAGTTAGCAGAACAGCACTAGGGAATAAAGGAGACTGCTTTACATCTTCTGGAAAGAGAAAATATACTTATCTTTTCTCAGAGTGCATCTAAGCTTTCCCTTTTGCTCTTATCACCCGTTCTGGTGGGCTGGGTTTTATGTGTTTTTAAATGAATCTTTAGAGTGGAAGGCATCTAACGTGGCATGAGCAAATAAGTAAYTGAGCTTTTGCTGTCAGACTTTTTAAAAATTATTCAGGTGGAGTTACTCAACAGTGTGCATTAGAAATCCAAACAATGAAGCTATCAGCCTGTGCTATATGCCTGTACTATACGCCTGTGTGGAGCCATCATCATCCTAAAAGGAGTCACTTAATATAATGGTTGTGAAAAGCAAACTTTGGCTACCCTTTTGGTTCTTCACACTCCTCTGGCAGTTGAACTGACATGACAATGAGACCTCAGTTCAGTACATAGTCTGCTTTGTCAACTTTCCTTTTAGAGAGTTGGAGAAGTCAGAAATGGCAGTGACTAAAGACAAAGCATAGTCCAGAGGGAAGACCTATTAATTCCCAAAGTCAAGCATAATCACAGTGAATGAAAACTAGCTTTTTTGTTTACTGGTGATGTTGGGYGGGGGGAAAAAAATTGAGGCATCAGTTTTTCCTGACTGCAGTTAAAGACTGTGTGTTAGGGAGTGTTAACATAGGGTATAATACAGTGGTTTTGTAATTGCAGTATAGTAAATTACTCCTTATGCTCATTTCTCTACAACTGTATGGTCTTCCTTTCATTGCCCTGCCACTTAGTTTAATTATTGTTATTATTGAATACCAAGAACTGTTGTCCCTCTCCATCAAGAATTTCAAGCAACTGCATGAAGCAGCAGGAATGTGTCRCTGCTTCTTTATTTGCTGTACTTGCCCTCTTTCTGCTCCTGCTGTCTTGGCCCCAGGCTGCACCTCAGCAGTGCTGCCCTGAGGAGAGTCCTKCCTGCTGGCTCATCTCAGTCTGCTGAGGCCATGTCTGCTCAGGACACCGCTGCTGCTTGCTGGCTGATGGTAACCTTCAAGTTCAAASTTAGCCCTGAACAGTAAATCATTGAATCAATCAGACCAGGTATTAAATATTCTTTAAAAAAACAAACAAGTCCTTGTAAAGAATCAGAATCACCTCACTTGTTTCTGACCATGTGTTAGCTGTCGTATCTTAAGTGCAAAGGAAGGTTAGATTGAGCACTCTTGAATCAATGCTGAAGAGCTTCTGGAAGAGTTTCTGCTGGTTTTCATGACATTTTACTTTCCCACATTTCAACAGGAAGATGTGTAGGTGTTTTCCATTCTTTTTACTTGTCCCTGCAAGTTCATGTATGGGGAGGTATAGAATGAAGTTGGCATGTTAGATGCTTTGATGCTTATATATTAGTGTTATTAAAATACTACTGGCTTCTCATTGCTTGAAAGACAATGAAAAATCTATATGGACCCTCTCCATCAAGCTGAAGAGMTGGGGTAGAGAAGTGATATGGAAAGTTCACTAATGTCCTTCAGATATATTTGAATATTGGGAGGAATTTGTCTGACTTGCTTATGAAATACAGCAGTCAGTWGTAGAGTGCCTGCTACATCATCAGTGTTCCTTGTGGAGGACCTTGGTGCTGGATACCTACGTGAAGTCCTACACACAAGAGGTGRATAGGGGAGAGTGGTCTGCATAAGGCCATGCTGCTTGCATTTTGGTGTATTGATTCATTAGCTGGGTCCCTCTTGGGGCTGAGGTTCAGTCCTGACAGGTAGCAGCAAACAGGCTTCTAACTTCTGTGCTGGTGGGAGACGGCCCATCATTCTCTCTGGTGACAGGACTGCAGTGGGAAGAAACGCTCTGCTGAGATATTGGTGTTTGCAGGAGTATGGTCCTTGCTGGAGCAGCAGGTTTTGCCTCTTCATTTAACACACCTGCTTTTTTAATTTGGGGATGAGGAAGCACATGGTCCTTTGGCATGGCAGAACTAACATGGTGGCAGGGATTTTTAGGTAGCAAGTTAAGTTTTCGGGGAATTTTGAAATTTATAAACTGGAGACTGATAGCCAGGTGCCAACTCTCTCTTTCAGCTGCCATAGTGCATTGCTGGACTGCTGTGCCTGGGTTTTAGGCATATCTCAGTCCTACTAGTTTATCTCCTTGTTGTCACTTGACAGGCAAGGGGTGTGGGCAGCATGCAAAAGAAGTGTATAACTGTGTTGCACACGGTGAAAGAACATTTGTGGTTTGGTTTATATTCCTTTGCCACTGGTATTGKTTTTTTTTGATTGAGAGAGACCTTGTACATGGTTCCTCCTGTTTTGACAAAGAAACAAACAGCTGATGGGCTTGGGAATAAGGATGGGGGAGTGTTAAGTGATCTTTTTGCAGTAATTTTGCCTTTTTTTCTTTTCTTAAGCAGGGGTTGATAAAAAGTGATGTGATCTGGGAGGAAAGAAAACTTCAGCCTCATTTTAAACTCTGCCTCAGGGGGAAAATCATGCAGCACCTTACTGATCCTCAGGTGGGGTCTGTCCCTGTTTGTATGTAGCTGCCATGTGACTTTGGAGATTTAGGGTTTCCATAACAGAAACAGCCTAAGGCAGTGGTTTTAGGTGATATCTGAAGCCTGCTAGGAGTGCCAGTCTCAAAGTGATTAGGTGATGGCTTTTGAAGTGTACAAACCAGATGATAAGCTGTGAATGAATTTCAAAAAAATGTTCTCTCACTCCTGATGGGTCCTTTCCTCCTGTTTTGAATTGGGAGAAAGAGTCTGCCTGGGGTAGTGGGTGGGGTGGGTTTTGCCATATAATTGGATCTGCAWCATGTGAATGGCCATTGCTTTTGGGCTGTTGAGCCTACAGTGCTGTTTGTGCTGAGCATGTGCCATTGTTTGAAGTCTGCCTGACAATTCTGTTCTGTACCTTTTGTCCTTCAGGGTTGCTGGTATCTGAAGGTCTAAGAAACATTGTGGAAATGTAGAATGTCCTGTGGAATTCCTGTCTTCCAGTCTTTGAATGGACTTCTAGATCTCTTTGGCTGTTCTGTCTTTGCTGGAGGATTCCCATCCCTTCAAATGATTCCCTGTTAGAAATATGGGCAGGTGGTGATCTGTCTCACAGCCCTCTGTAGCTTGGCCCTGTATCTCCCAGAGTTTTATCTGTCAGAATAGAGTTTTTAGTGACAGTAGCTAATGGTTGACCTGGTAGCTTGTAGTGGCAGTAGTTAATGGTTGACGTTCTGCAGTGCTGTCTCCTTTCTCTCCCTGAAGAAAAAAGGGCAGGGTGGATCAGAGCCCTTGGATCTCAAGGAGTGCTATGTGGCCAGCTCTCCAAGTTTCTGGGCGTGGCTCAGTGTGGGAAGGCAAGCTGACCAAATAGCAATGTGGCTTTCACAGGAATGCCTACATTTCTATAAATGGACACAGGAGCCTGAAATGAACTTTTTCTACCCATTTCATGTGGTGCTCCCTTCCCAGACATATACCAAAGGCATCTCCCCCTTCTCTCTCACAGAAGAATTTAGCYTTTAGGTTAAGTTCTGTGTGGGAGTTTAAATGAATGTCTGCAGTGTTTCTGATGGTAGGGTCTATCCTATGGCACCCTCAGCACTTGCCCCGCAGGGTCCCCAGTATTGTCTCTATTAGGTGACTGTAGTATTATAYCCTCACTGAGGATTCCAGTAGCAGGTGAGGTAGCAGTCAGAGCTGAAACCCCTCTTCTGCTTTGTTTTCTCTCTTGTCTACTGCTGTTGTTTTGCTGTGTTGCATTTCTTTCCCAGCAGACTGGGGGAAGGTACATTCAAGGCTGACAGGCCCTGAATGACTCGCACAGGGGAATAGTCTTCAGTGTACAGGATTTCATCATATTAAGCATTATGAGATGATGCCACAGAA